TAATAATGTTTTATAATTTTTATCGTTATTGATTTAAAATGAGTTAAAACGAAAATAAAATGAAGAAAATGTTACTTATGGGTTAACATAAAGTGGGTAAATCTTCAATGCATTCAATTATTTTTGCAAATACCCCTCCAAATTAAGTTATGTAAATTGGATTAACTGTAGATGTAAATCAAAATTTATTTAAATTTTTGGATATTAAGCTAAATTTTTTGGATTGCGGTGGACAAGTAATAAGATTTAGTTTATTTTGAGGATAAACTATTATAAGAGTATTTCACTACATAGAAATCTACAATATTTTCTAATGTTGAAGTTTTGATATACATGTTTGATGTTGATAAAGAAGGAGATCTATTCATTAAGGAATTGAATGATTTTAAAACTATAGTAACATATTTATCAGAATATTCTTCTGGAGCTATTGTATTTGTTTTGATTCACAAATTTGATAAAATAAAAGAATCAGAAAGAAAAATTGTATTTGAAGTATTATCACATTTTATATTCTTAGCGAAAATACAAAGAGATTATTCAAAGAGCAGATGGCTTAAATATTGAAATTAAAGATGTGTTTCCAACTTCTATTTGGGATGAAACTCTCTTTAAGGCTTGGTCTTAGATTGTTCAAAAATTGATACCTAATATAAATGTTATAAAGGAGAGTTTGAAAGCCTTTTGCCAAACTTGTAGTTGTGAGGAAGTTGTGTTATTTGAAAAATCAACTTTCTTGATTATTGATATTTAAGAAACAACTGAGAAAAAAGGTATTTATCAGATTTAATAATATAGATATCTAAAAATATGAGAGATTATCTAATATAATAAAGCAATTTAAGTTGACTTGTATGAAAACATAAGCAAATATATAATCAATAACAGTAAAATCAGAGAAATTTACTGTCTATATAGATGAATTTACAGAAAACACATTTATAATGTTGGCTTACACTGATCCATCAATTTATCCAGCTGCTATTTCACACAACGTTCATCATGTATAATTTAAATTTATTAAAGGCTTAAAAATTATTTGAAAGTATTCAAGGATCTGATACAGATAAATTGAAATATTTAATTTAAAGAAGACCATGAAATTTTATTATTAACCATCTGAGGTTAAAGAATAATAAAATATACCATTATCAGCAATTAAGATTTTATTGTAAAGCTCGATTAAGGTTCTAATTCTTTCATTTAAGCTTATCTTTTTCATATTTTTTTTGAAATTGAGTTATTTATAATGAACTGTTGATATGAGATTTTCATTTTTTCTACATATATATATATTAATTATATATTAACTAATTTTAAATATATGTATTAAACAACATTAGGTTAGATTCATAACTCAACTACGATAAGCAATATCTCTTTAAATTTTATTTTAAATATAATTATTGTGAATCCAATCTCAATCTTGATGATAACTCTTGGCAACAAATAAAACTTCAATTAAATTTTTTAATTTTCTTAATTTAATTACTATATTATAGGGAGTTCAATCAAAATTATTAATAATTGAATTTCCGTTTGAATCATATTTTTGAATGTAATCTTATGGCTGCTTAGAAGAATATAGCAGCCTTAAGGTTTGTGAATTTAGAAAGTAGAAGTTTTAATTAGAATATAGGATTGAATAGTTGTAAATTTTTATTCTGATTAAAGTTAAAAAATTGAAATAATAATATATTTATAAGATAAAAGTTTAAGCTTGAATTCATAAATAATTAAATTAAAATTTTTTCTTCTATTTTAAGAAAACTTATAACAATATTAAAAGAAATATCATTCAAAGTTCAAGAACTTAGGAAGTACTTTCTTATAATTTTCTTAAATAGTGACAGATTTTTACTTCCTTACCACTCTTATCTGCATTTAAATTAATCTTCTCATTGATTTAATCTCCTTCCTTTACCTTCATCATTTCTTATATTGGGATAGGATCTCAACTCCAATAGAAAGCATGAATCAAAAATCTTTTTAGAGGTAAAAATATGTATTGAATAAATTTATCATACTTTCACTAATTCTTTCCCTTGACTTTAAAGAAATAATTAAAGGTTTCTTTTACTAGAATTCATCCTTATACGGAAAAATAAAGTTCCTAATGTTCAGTCTTATATTAAACAATTAAATTAGAATACTCAAATCTAAAATTAATTATATGAACAAAAATTAGAAAACTATTGAATTATGAGAAGTTCATTATAGATTTCAATATTTTAATATTTTTAAGCAAAAATAACTAAACCATATTATAAAATATAAAATTGAATTCTACAAAATATATTATATTTAATATTTAAAAGACTCTAATGAATCTATCTAATGAAATCTTGTTGAGTAGAAAAATATAGAAAAAAAAATGATGATATATTTATAAACATAATAAATATTATTGTTTTAATTTAATAATTACCACTTTTATTTAGTTAATTTTAATTAAAATTTAACCAAATGAATAGTTTGCTACACTAAAAAAGAGAATGTTTTTCATTAAAAATAAGACGAAATGAAATAGAAAAAATATTTAAAGAAAAAAGAATACCTTAATTATCAAAAGAAATGATGCTTGATTTATTAAATAATAATGATTAGGAATCAATCAATCGACTTACAGATGCAACTGCAGGATCAAAAGAACAAACATTAGATTTGATTTAAATTGGAGGAATATAGTTTTTTTATGAATTATTGTAATCAAAAGAAAAAACAAATGCAATTATTGGATTGGGTAATTTATGCAGTGAAAAATTGGTTTAAGAAGAAGTTTTAGAATTGAAGATTATCGAATACATGATTGATGAAGTTCATAGATACAAGAATCTTGAAGATCTATCTCTTAGGTTATGGTTTTTAAGTGTGTTAGCCAAATTTAAGAGAGATTCTCAAAATGAGGAAGGTAATATAATTGAGAGAGAAAAACTTTTTAATATCTTTTGGATGTACTAAAAGAAATACCCTGATGTACTTAAAATTTAATAGGAATGTTTTCATGGATTCTATGCTTTGACAAAAGTTACATTCATCTAAAATGAATTAATGGAATTATGTTGCAATAATTTGAATAAAGGTATTGATAATATCATATTAAAAATAATGTATTATCTTATTAATGACTATGTAAAATTTGTATAGATTCTACATAAGAGTCAATTTATTTAGTTTTGTGCAAAATATTTATAAATATCTTGTAGATAGAAATACACCTTAAGAATACTTTATTATTATGCTTAATATTATGTAGAAACTATTCTTTAAAATAAAGATATAATCAATTAAATCATAATTATTCAGAATTCCTAAATGCATCAAAAATAAATCATACTTTTACATTATGCAATGCTATTTAAATGCTAGAGCTCACAATTCATGGACATAATAAAAGAATTTGAAATCATTAATAATTTAAAGATACTTTTAGAAAACTTTTAATATGAATAACAAACCCTATGTCTTTTAGCATTATTAAAATAAACAAATAAAGAATTAATAAAGGATCTAATTCCAGATTTAGAGAGAGTTTATTAAAATAAAAAAGAAAATGAGAAAACCCTTAGAAAACTTTAACTAATTTTAGATTGATTTTTAATATTACTGCTTTAAATAGTTAACTTTATATATTGAGTATAATATTGCTGGATGAGGTATATAATACATCATTGTTTTTGCAATTACTCATAATCAAGATCAAAACTAATAGGTTTTGCTTCTGGATTGTATTCATGTTATTCAATTTCTTCTTTTTCATTCTAATAATATAATATAAATCTTACATCTATTTTAACATCTTATTAATTTTCTTTTTTACTTATTTCCCTATTTTATTTCATTCTTTATTTATTTTCTTTTCTTCTTAGTTAATATTGAGCACTTAATATTTTGGTCCAATATTCTTCTGCTCCTTTTCTTATTCTCTTTTCAATTTCTACTCTTGGTACTCCTTACATCCCAAAAATTTTATTTTTAATATCACTTCTATCACCAGTGGCATTGGGTATTCTAAAATAAATATAATCCTTTTAAACTTAGTCAAAACTTCATGGTGAGCTGATTCTACATGATTTTTTAATGAATCACAAGAGGAAAACTTCTTGAAGCATCTCTAGCATGTAAAATGCTTGGCTTTTTAATGCTAATGCAAGTACACTTCATTTTTAAATGTTTTATCACAGTAAAAACAAAAAGGTTTCAAATAAGATAGGTCTCTATTTTTTCTTCCCATAGATATAAGTATATTTATATTAAAATTATTTTTATTAATATTCATTTAAGTTTAGGTAATTATTCAAATGGAGATACACTTTATTTGGACAAATTTAAGATTTTTCTTTTACTAACAAATCCAAATCCAATTCTAGCTAAAAACCTCTAAATATGTATGCATTCATCACCACATCTTTTATGTACCTAAATATACTTTGGTATTATTACTCTCATAAAATTTTCATAATACTTTTTGAAATCAAAATAAGTGATTGTTTGAACACTCTTATTACAATAATTCGAAATAACCAAAAAAATTTTATCTTTCCATTCATTTTTCTCTTTTTAAGCAAATTGAGTAAATACTTTTTTGATGGATTCTTCTTTCAAATGATCCTATATTATTTCCAAAGGTTTCCCTATATTATTTCTAAGAACTTCTAAATCGAACTGTTCATCATTTTGTGGTTCATGACCAAAGACAGAAAAAAACAATTTTTACTCAATTTATTCTTTTTATTATTAATCTGGTGATTTTACAATTTAAGTTTTCGATTTTAACATATCATCTAAAAGTTTTTAATTTGATGAAGTAGTTCTATGTTTATTTTTATTCATCTAATCAGATGGAGATACAGTTCCATAGGTAATGATATGAACATTATCTCCAGTGTTTATAAGTTGACAAATACTTCTCATACCTTAAATTGAATTTGGATTTATGGGACTATTTGAACTGAACCCATTTCCTATTTCATTTGGACTCCAACCCTAATTGATTAATCCATTTTGATTATTTTAATTTTAAGTTCCTGATAATACAATTTAACTTTATTGTCTACTAATAACTGGTGAATACAATGAAGTTGGTTATGTTTTTAATTCTTAAATAATTCCTCATCTCCTATTTTATTTTATTAATATGAATAATTTTCTAGTAAATCATTATTTGTATAAATATTTTATTACCTACCCGTTTTTAGTTTTATCGAATTTCTTATGCCTATACTTTTATCTAAATTTTATAAACTATCTCTTTTATAATCTCCTAAAGTATCAATTTAGATTGTCGAAGTACGAGATATTTATTTTTAAGATGAATTCTTCTCATAAAAATGAATAAATTATTATTCATTTAAAAATACAGTTTCAAGTCTTTTTAATTAATCTTCTGAAAGTCCAAGATCACCAGCCATTTTCTAAAAAAGATTCCATAAAAAGAAATCATCTGTTTAAGTAGTCTTCTGTGAAATTGACTCAGCTTTGGCTCTATAAATTTAGGAATCATTTAGCTTTTTTATTTATTCTTCTAGATGTTATTTTTCTTTTTATTATTATTAAGGCTATTAAATAATAGTTTCAATATATTTTTATTGAATAATTTTATCTTCCTATTTGAATGATACTTGTATTCCAATATCTTTAGTTTTATTTTATTTGTAAAAATCACATTCTATATCACTTTAATCAATTAAAGATGATTTTTTTAAGTTGATTTTCTCCTTTTTAATTATTTAATTCTTTAGAAGAGAAATTAGAAAATGATTATTTATTACTTTTGGTTTCTAATTAAGTAAGTGTTGGTCTGTTGTTTTAGATTCCAAATTATCCAGAGGAAGAATTTTAATCTTTTTTAGAACTTTCATTGTTTACTGCACTATTATTTTTATTAGACTTTAAATAACCCTCCTTTTATCTAAATGTTATATTTGATCTATTTGAAGATTTTGGACTACTGACTTATTCAATTAATTTATGAACACTAGTTTCTATTTAATTTAATTAGAATAGTTATTTTTTCTATTTTTTATTTGATTCATCGTCTGTTTCTGATTAGGCCAATCTTCTTTATGTAACAATTTTATCAAGATTTATTTATTCTTGTATCAAGGCATTAAATGGTTTTTCTATATGACTTATTCTTTTCTTTTTATTTATATTTCTTTTCTTAGTAATTGATTACTATTCATAACTTTCATCTTCATCTCCAGATAATTCATCAAGTTTCTCTAATGGAGATTCACAATTTAATTTTAATTTGGACCTCACAATACGATACAATTCATTTGGTGCCAATCTTGAAATATCTTCAGCTGAATTATCTTTTATATATTATAATAGAGTATTAAGTGATATTATTTTATTATCAGGTGATAAATCACTTTAGATTAATAATAATAAAACTTCTTCTATTTATTTTGGTCCATTTAAACTTTCAATCTTATCTTCCAAAGCCTTTTTATGTAATAATTTTAATTCTTCTTTCATTTCATCATTTTCCTATATCATTTCTGATAGTTTCAATTCAAATAATTCAACTCTTGGATCCATCATTGAAACCTATATTTCAACATCTGTTTTCTTTCCATTTTTAGATACTATAGTATTACATACTTCTAATTTTTAAGTTACTTTATAATTATCAATCTATTTTAACAAACTTGCAAATTTCTTCTCTTATTCTTCAAATTTTTAAAATAATTAATTAATTTTGGCTTCCTTTTCAACTATTTATTCATTCTTATCCTTTATTAATTTCTCTAATTCTTCAATTCTTTAAAAATTTTAGGTTTTATTCTTTTTTACTAATATACCTTATGTTCTCTTTATCACAAATGAATCATATTCAAGTCGAATCTTTCTATCTGCTGCTCTCATTATTCTTTCAGCTATTTTTCTTTAAACCATCAATATCTTATCTTTGACTTCTTTTTTTATATCAAAATCTTCTTCATCTTTAATCTCATTTGCCTTTTTAATTTAATCAGTTATGTATAAATCATTCTTGAAGGTTTCTCTTTCCATGTGTCTATTCAGATCACTCAATTTTTAAATAGCATGACTATTAGTGATTTCCGACCACATTCCTTTTTACTTTAATTGTTTTCTTAAATCAATTAAATTAGCTTCATTTTCTTCTTGTATCCTTAATAATTCCTTTTCTGTTTCATATTATATATTCCCTTAAAGCAACTTAACCATAGCATCATCACTAGTACTTGTACTTTTATTTTCCATTTTCCTAAAGATCTTTTATTTATTCATTTTAAAAGTTTATTCAGCATCCATAAACTCCTGCTGTTACTAAGAATAAATCTCTAAATGATGTAGAAATTTAATTACTAAAATTCTAAACTTCAGTTCCCCCCAATATATTTTTTGTAGAATTTGTTTATTTTTAACAATATTCAATAGGTAATTCAGGAGGATTAACTATTTTTCGTGAATTAATTTCAAGCACTTTATCAAATACTAGAGTATAATTTGTAGATAATTTTTATAATAATGATGCTTCAGAATTAAGATCCTTACTTATCAAATTGAAACTCACCTCCTCAACACATGATTTTAATCTATCTAATATCTGTTAGAGCAATATAATACAAATTTTAAAGTGTTTAAGGAACCAGGATTCCAAGTTATCAATGGCTGCATTTATAATTCCATCATTGCTTTTTCAGCCATGAAACTAATTTTACTTAAAGTTGACTACATTTATTTTTATGTAATTAAATAATATATTTTGTATATATTTTATTGTAAATTTCTTATAGTTTATGAATTAATTATATAAAAAATCTTAATCTTTTTAGATGCCTTATGAAGTTTTATTCCATTACAATCTGTAATTTAATTGAATAATTATAAAATGGGGAATAAAACAATAAATCTATTTGAAATATGAACACTGCATAATATAATATAAAGTATGATGTAAAATTAAATCTAGATTAATATGGGTGCTATATTTTTGATAATATAGTTTTTTCTTGTTGTAAAATTGATTTAAAAAGATACATATACAATTAATTATGTAGTAGTGTGATAAGTCGAATTATTTTTGCAATAATCATGATATTTATATAAATGTTAATCTACAACAGTAATAAATCATTAAAGATATAATAGTTTTCCTTCATCATATGATTGAAAATTCTCGAAATAAGATTTATAGAAACAAATTTTTAATTGAATTCATTTATATAAGAATAAATCTCTATATTTCAATACATCATGGTTAGAAAAATTACTTCCAATTTAATCAATTTAATTGATTTTTGTCATTGCATCATGAAATTCATTATGAACCTCTTTTGGATATGTCATTTTAAGAAATTCTATTGTTTCTTTTATTTTCTTTCTTTCCATCCACTTTTTCTCTATTTCTGTTTAATTTTCTAGATCTTTTTACAATTCTTCTGATTTCTGATTCCATAATTTTTCAAAACTTTCTATTATATAATGTGAAGAATTTGGAAAGTCGATTAATCCTTGATTTAGATCTATTTAAGTTTCTTAATTGGTCATATTCTAAATTAATTAAAGTTTGCTGTTTCTGTCTAGACAAAATTTGCATTTCATATCATTTTCTTCTTCTGAAAAAAATTCAAAGGGATAATGATGCTAATCACAAATTTTGTACGGTGATGCAAATAGGTTAAGCAATTTATTTAGATTATTGAATTACTATGACTTTAAATTAATGATTTATTTAATGCATTCATGTATTTAACAATTGCAATTAGTGGCTATCAAATTTTGGATACATGTATTATTAATTGAGGATTGCTATTACATATTTAAATACTAATATTTATAATTAATTCAAATAATTCTTAATCTATTTAAAGTTTATACTTAATAAATGTTTAAATATATATTAATGGATCAACTAGAATATATTTGGTTTTAAGTAAGTATTATTCATGATTAAATTTAAGTTGAATTATTATATACTATTCTAAAATTCAAACTATAGTCTTTCTTATTTGTGAATTTAAAAGCTTTTATTTATAATTTCAATTATTGGAGAAAGTAAATAAATAAATGTTTAATAAATACTCTTTAACTTTTTAATCCACAAATTTAGAATTAGAATACAGAGAAAGTCAAATACCAGTTGTGAAAAAAGAGTATACAGCATTTTCTTTACAAGCTTGCGTAATTTTCATATTGAAAATAATAGTTATACATGATATTTTATTCCATATATTACTTTAGAAGTTAGCCTTATTTTATAGCCATATTGCTTAGTTGTTGTTTTATTGTTATCTTTATTATCTTCTCAAAGTTTTTAATAGATAAATACCCAAGTGTAATTAACATAATTTTGCCTTTTCTATAAATAATTATGGCTTTGATTCAAAGTGTTGACTATATTTTTAAAGAAAACAATCCAAATAATTCCTATAATTCAAATTATGATTGGTATTATGGATTTTGTGCTTGCTATTTTCACATGGGTATTTTTGTCATTCTATAATAGCCATTTTTATTTAAGGCTATTTATTATGGTCGTAAGCTCTAATAGTTATAGGATTATTGCTAGCATATATTTTATGGGCTTATAATTACTCTTATATCTATGTTAGTCTATTATTAAGTTTTATCTCTATTATTGTAGGAATGATTGCGATCAAATACAGTATAGAGAATAATAAAAGGCAATAATTTCTCCATAATAGAGAAAGAAAAAAATGGTTTGCAGTAAATTAATAACAATTTTTAGATAATTGACACAGTCTTAGAATAATCTATTTTAGTCATCAAATTAGATAAACAATAGGATTAATTAAGAATACATTAGATGAACAATATTACCAAAGAAATTTTAGAAGTTAATAATGACAATGATTTAAGAACAGTTCTAAGAAATGTAAATTATTAAACATAATTCATTAAGCTTACCTTTTCTAGAGGATCAAAGCTTACAAACAAAGAAAATAAATGTACACTTGAAAAGCATATTAGAATGATGTTGTAAAGTAATTCATAAACAGGTTCTGCATTCGAATTGAGAAAAAGGGGTTCTTAAGATAAATTAGTTAATTCACTTATATGTCAATCTAATTTATTAGGAAATTAATTTAAAGTTTAAATTGTAAATTATTGGACTGATGAACAATAAATGGTTATAATGGCTACTGAATGTTTAAATAATTATTCTTAAAATCATGAGAAATTAGAATTGAATTTAAAAAATAGACTTATTACCTCTTTGGCTCAACATTGTTTAACCGTTTACTTTAAAGAAAAAGATGATAGATTTGCTTAATTATAATGTATGAATTACTTTGTATCTCTTAATATTTTATAAAATCCTGATATTTTAAATCAAACTCATTAAAAAAAATGCACTAAAGATAGAGTAATATCATTATTAAAATCTGTTTTTGGGAATCAATTGACTATTATTAACAAATTAAAAATAGAAAATTTACTTATAGATTTAAACTCAGTATTATTAATATTGACTTCATTGCTTTAATTTAGAGAGAAAAATGAGGGATTTATAAAAATATCATCTAAAATTAATGAAGATAATATTGAATCTATACATTTTACTTTGATATAATCAACTAAATAAATTATACCTTAGATAAGAGTTTACTTTACAAAACCTTTATTTTTTTTTAATAATTCGGACAAATTTTCAAATATATCTCATCTTCAATAAAATTTGTTACATTTAGATAAAAAAATGAATTTTTAAGATCCTTTAAAAGCTACAACCTTAATTATAACGAAATTTTTATTATGGCATTATGGTTGTAATACATAAATTAAAATTAAATAAAAAAATAACCTCACTTACTTTTCATTTTCTTTGCTTAATTAATGATTATAATTAATTTATGATAATGATTTATTTTTAATTTAATTGTCTATTAAACTCTTACTAATTATGAGATAAATATTATTAAAGTTAAAAGCCATCATTATTCTAATATTAATATATTTACATTTAAAAATATTTAAATTTTGATATAATTGATATATCGTAAATAAAAAAGATAGAATAAATACTAAGATAAATAAAATCTGAATCTTAGTAAATATATTTGATTTATTTATTTTAAAAATAATATACATAAATAGTATTTAATAAATAGTAAAATTCTAAATATATAAATTATGAAAATAATAAATTATAAAATTTTACTAAAGTATATAATAAAATAATTCTCAATTTCTGGCCTTAAAATATTGTGGAATCACATATGTATTAGGTTGGTAAATCTATTAAGGTTAAACTTCATGAGCTGAATATCTATTCATGAGATTTTAGTGAACTGGCCTTGCTGCTTTTGCAGATTATTAATATGTTTATATTTTATCAATGATACTTGTATTAAAACTTCTTTCCTTTGGTGATTAATCAATTATTGGTTATCTATAAATTTTAGGTGAATAATCGATTATTTTTTAGTAATTTATTTATGCCTCTTCTCTTGTAACAGGCTATTTTTCTTCACTTTTTAATCTAACCTCCATAGTTGGTTTATAAATAGAATTTTGTTATAATTATTATTGTAAGTTAACTTATTTAAAACTAGTTTCTTAGTATTTTAAAATTCTATTTTCTAACTCATTAACGTAATTATCTTTTTATTTAATTTAATTTTTTAATATTTCTAATTCCTTTTTGAGATTATTTATTTCCTCTTCTTAAAATTTAATATGTTTCTAATAATAATCATTTTTTTGAACATAATGTAAACAATCATAACATTTTTAGGATTATTATGTTATATTTCTTTCTTATAAAGGTTTAACTTCAGATTTAAAACCAAAAGTAATTTCTTTTAAATTTTCATTTTTTCTATCTAATTATTACTATTAGTTAATAATTTCTTATTTAAATTACTCTTATCTTTTTTCTAATTTAAGTAACTCTTATTTTAATTCAATTTTTAATTCGTCTTCTTTATATGGTAATTTATTATCAGATTTTTTATCAATTTATTTTTGATCATTCCTATTATCAGGTGTTCTGGATTCTGTTCTGACTTTATGTTCTGATTATCCAAGATCTAATTTAAGCTCTTATCGAATATCTTACTTATGATCAGATCTATAAAGTAAATCACTTAGTTTATAATCCTTTCCTTATTTTATATCAATTTTATTTGATTAATACTCGTTTTAATATTATGATGTCGAACTATTTTAATTAGAAAACTGTGAAATATTTGTAACTTATTGAGATTATCTTAAAGCTGAAGGTGGAATTTATGAAGTCTTCAAAGCACTTGAAGTTTAATAAGTAGCAGTTTATGTTAATTGATAGGATTATCTTAATTCATTAGTTTATTTATAACTTGGCCTCTATTTATATTCTTATTCTGATGATTATGAGACATAAGATCCTTAATCAACAGGCATTTATTAAATTGGTTTTTATACTTCTTGATTATGGGAATAAACAAAAACAATATTAAGACCTGCACATATTTAGCCATCAACTAAATTGACTTTACTTAATTAAATCCTATGTGTTTATTATTATGAATAATTTTCAGGCATTTTATTCATTCCAAAAACATACCATCCATCTAAACATTTCAACATAGCAAAGTTTTCTCCTGAAATTACTTACAATACTCTTTATCCATCATCTAATTTACATAATTCTTCTAATGGAGTGCACTTTCTAGCATAACCCCAACTTCCAGTTCCCCAAAAATAAACTTTTCCTTATTTGCTTATTACACAACTAAATGTTCCCATAGATGCTATCACCTATTGTACTTCAAAATTTAATTATAATTTAATAGGTTCTCTAACTACTTATTCAGATACTCCACATTATCCAAATAAATTATTTCCTGTAACAAAAACCTAAATATTGAAACTTAATTTACTTGTCCTTTATATAAAAATAAGGAATGATCCAAACCTGCAGCCATTTATTCAACAGGTATACTCAATTTCACAGGGCTTGCATGTTATCCTAAAACTCCTAATTATCCATTCTAATTTTCTCCCATCACATAACATGTCTCTCCATTTCTTATAAGAGTGTGAAAACTACCGCAACAAACTTCTTATCCTTAGATATTGAGTTCAGTTGGTTTTTCAACGTTTTCTGTGTCTCCCAATCCTAATTAACCCTCTGAACCTCTACCCCAAACATAAATTTTATTATCTCTTGTAGCTGCAGCAGAATGATATAAACCTACTGCAATCTAAAGAACATTCTTCATAACTAATTGAAATCCTGGTCCTGTTGAGCCTCTTTAACCAAATTAATTTGATCCATAACTAAAAACATTTCCATCTTAAGTTAAGGCTAATATATGAGATTGACCTGCACAAATCTATTTGACGTAACCTGGAATTGATAATTAAGTTGTTTCATTAAAATTAGGCACATTCCTAGGTGTTCTCAATGTCAATGATCCTGCACTTTCGAAAAGATCAGAGTCTTCATGATTAATGATACCATAGATAGTGATTTTTGAACACATTAACGGAATGTTAAATATTTTATATAATAATTAATTATAATGGAAGATTAAAATGCTAGAAAAATATAAAAGTAGAACTCCCTTTTTTTATAATAGAGCTTGGAGGTCATTTACCAATAGAAAAATATTCCAATATTACAAAGATATCATTTTATTTAAGTGCAAGTTCTGAATAATAATAACATTAGAGGAAACCCTGCAAGATTGTTAAAAGCTATTAACCCAAATGAAGCCTAATTACTTGATGCTGCATGTAAATCACATATCAGATTTCGACTTGGTGGAGAAGTAAATAATTTTATTACTATTCTAGCAATTTCCTCCTATAATTTATTATAAAATATATAGCCATGGAGGAATTGTAGATTTAAATTCATTTGCCCCTAGAGATTATTCATCTATTCAAAGAGATCCTGTTCCTCATGAAAAAGTTGCATATTCAGAATATAAGAAAAATCAATAAAAATATGATAATCAAGGATGGTATCTAAGATTGGATAACAATGGATGGAGACCAGTTAAATTATATATTAATAACCATAGATCTCCAACAAATAAATGATCAAAGCAGATTTTGTTGAATTATACACAGCCAACAAAATTAGATATTATCATCATAAAAAAGATAAAAGAGAGGAAAAAGTCAATAAGAAGACTAGACTCAATAAATTGAAATGGGCTGAGAGTATTTAAAAATAAAAAGAGGGAACTCAATAATTAAAACAAGTTTAATAATAATAAGATTTTTTTACTTAAACTAAATAATATTTAGAAATGGATGATGTATAATGTTTTATATTCTTAGGATGAGTTTGATAAAGAAGTATAAAACCTTATAGATTGGAGTGAAAATTTAAATTATGATAAATATATGGCAGAATGGTTTTAATTGTCGACTTCAAATGCAAGTGAAAATTATGTTGTTTAATAAATACATGTATTTTAAATTAATATTTTATAGTAAACAAAAATTGATTCAGTCCTTAAAGGAGATTGAAAGCTTGAAAATATTCTCATTAAATTCATTCATAAATTTATGGTTTCTCTAATCTTGATTTCTACTACTTTAAGGTCTCATCAAATTAATATCATATTAATTAGTACTCCATATTCTTAATTTTTTATATATCCCTTTCAATTCTTTTTATCCCATCTAATAAACCTAACATGCCTTTTAAATTTCAATACAGGTGTTTTATTCTGATTAGACATTAGAAAATCTCAACTTTTCAGTTCTTGATTCTTGATGAAATATAGTCTAAGATTTTTAATACCTTTAAGTCTTTTATGGAGGAGTTTTTGATCTAGAAGATAGAGGCATCTATCCAAGTTACATAATATAATGATTTCCTTTAATAGTGTGTTAAACTTTGTGTTTTAAGAAATCGAAAAATTTTGTGCTGTTATTTATATAATATTTAGTAGTCTTTGGATCAATAGTCTAAACTCTAGCTTAAATACTTTTTCTTTATTATTCATTCCTAAACAATTTGTTATATATATGATATTAATTATAATTTTCCAGTGTAACAGGAGAAATTTTATTTACAAAGCCAAATTTGTGAGAAATTTTGCTATAATCAAGGTCTATTTTTTTTTTATAAAGTGCTAATTCAACATCTTTGTTATAATTTAGATTTAGTCCTATTTAATTATTCATTTTATTTCAAAAATAATTATCAACGATTCTTACAAATTTAAAATACTATGAATTAGGTTTGCCATAAAAAATAATATATAATGGAAATTAGAAATTTTATTTAGCAACCTATTTTTCAATTCTAAGATTTAAACGATAATGATAATGACTTTCTAAATTTAATATATTTTTATTAAAATTATTAATCTCTTTAGCTCCATCTTATCAAATAAATTTTATCATGTTTTTCAAATTGAAAACAAATTAAAAAAAAAATTATAATAAGAAGATAGAGAACAGTTAGACGATAAATATGGTAAAGAATAATTATGTAATTTATTTGTGATTCTAAAGTACTGAATTTTATTATCTAAATTCATGATATAAAAAGTAGAAATAATTTTTATTAAATTAAGAAATTGGTGAAAAAAAGAACCTAAGTTCTAATGTTTTTTTTATATGAATGCAAAAATTAATTTGAGAAATTCTTATTATTTTATTTATAACTCTTGAGATATGATCCTATTTAATTGTAGACTATATCATATTAGTTTAATCCTGGGTACAATTTCCATTCTTTAGTTTCTATAAATAAATACTTTTTTATTGATAAAAATTCAAAAATATATCTATTGATAATTAAAAACATTAGCCCAAAGAATTTTGATCTTTTATTTTTGATATTAATCAACTAGTGTTTAGGTTTGTTGTCAATACTTTATTTAAGTAATAAATAATATTAAATTTCTAACTAAATGACGTAGCAATAATCATGATGTTAATTTGACCAGTGTGGGCAAACGGTCCCATTTAATTTCTGAGCAAACTAAATTTTCATCATATATAAATTTAAAGTTAGGAAAATATGAAGATTAATGAATTCTATGGCGATAAGTTTAATGATACATTTGAATGACATTGAATGATTCTTCTAAATTTTTGTTAATAAACAAATTTTATGGATTCAACAATTGAACAACTTCATTATAACTAATATTTATTGGTCGAGTTGTTTTTTTTAAAATTGCATTATTTTTCTTTTTTTTTCTTTCCTGTCCTTCTGAAGAATCATTAGTTGACAGAGATCCCATAGAATCATTCATGAAATTAACAGTTAGATATATAATAAAAATATTAATCAAAATAAAAGTCTTAATAAAAACAAACTTTCGTTCAAGTTTAAAAAATCTAAATTCTTCTCTACAATTTTGAATTTATATCAATTTTACTCATTGATTAATAAAAAAATTGTTAAAATAACAAAATAGATTCTATACCTAAAATGTACACCTTGTAAAGGTCTATATTTCACAAAATCTAAAATCTTAGAATCTTCTAAGTTATAATTGTTTCTGATCCTAAACCGTAAATATTTGAAAGAATATTTACAAAATTGGAGAAGTGAAAAAAGGAATCCAATACTTATTGATCACAGAAATTGTCATAAAAAATGGTATAGATGCCCAAATCTTATTTCATTTATGTAAATAGAAAGTAATTAAGAATTGTAAAATCAAAACCCAGACTAATAAAATAGCCTAATCTTATATACATTAAATTAAACTAATATTTTTGTTTTTTGTCCAATCCTTATATGGCCTTTTAAAATACGCTATTATAATTTGACAATATTCATACAAAAAAGTAAGTTTTAATATTTCCATCTCCATATAAATATAAAATGACAATCAAATTACTCTAATAAATTTTATAATGAATAATTTAACAATAATATGTTCAGGAATTAAAAATTTTATATAAAATAAATTCAAAATGCAAATAGATGAATTGCCGGTTGGGTAATCAAAAAAGAATTTTATGTTAGAGGAGTTTCCACCAGGTAATTTTGTTTATAAATAATTAGATTTTGATCCTCAGTAATAAGAAAAAGTCGATTTACCATTAAAGTAACGAATTAAATCTAAAGTTTGGAAAGTAAGGCTTTCAGCTTATGAAGAATTAGCAAATGATGAAGAAATGGATTGTGAATGTGTCATATAGATAATATAGGATATTCATATTTAATGCTAAGAGAAAGCGCTTTAGATAGCATTAAAATTTTTTGAAAAACATAGCTAAATAGAGTGTTTATAACAAAAAGAAATAATAAAGGTTTTATTAGAGAAAGTATTAACACAACAAAAATTAAAAGTACTTGGTCATCAAGTTGCAACATAACTTTATCCTAATTGCAAATCCGCCTTCTCTGAAATAATAATATCATATTTAATTCATAAGAACCCTAAAGTTGTATAAGCAACAATAGCTTTGTTGATAGAATTATTGCAATAATTTGGCCTTAAAAAATTAGACAATTTAAAACCTTTTTTTCCAGTAATGGCCAAACTTACAGATGCCTAATAGAGTACTGTTAAAATTGATGCAATTGCATTTTATAAGGAAGTAACAAAATGGTATGGAAAAAACATAGAAGCTTTTTTTGGAGGGTTAAATGAGAAATTATAATAAGAATTGAAAAAATTAGCTGAGACAATAACTGAAGTATAAAAGGCTCCAAATCAAGAAGGAGATGCTGAAACTAATAATTAAGAACTATATGATTTAGTTGAAGCGGTTGAAGTCTTTTCAAAATATACAGATAGTTGGTGTGAAAAAGTATTTTAATTAGAAAAATGGTAAGAGAAAAAGGAACAATTAGACAATCTATAAAAATCATGTTCTGTTCCTAAAATACAACCATCTTAAAATATATATTCAGTTGTATAATTATTAAAGAAATTATTAAATGAATAATAAATGATTGTAAGTACTTAATGTATCAAGATTATTGGATGTATGGCAAATGGTTTAAGAAAGAACTTTAATTAATATGCTAAAATAATTATTTTACCTGTTTTGGCTAAATTAAAGGACAAAAAATAAAATATAGTTGATGAAACAATTATTACTATTAAAAAACTGTTTTATAGTTGTAATCTTGATGAATTTTTCGAAGAACTGAAAGCCTTATTGGAAGATAAAGCTCCTGGCCCAAAAATTAATGTTTTTATCATAATTGACCATTATTTAGATGAAACATCAAAAGATAAATTAAACAAACTTTAATGTGTTAAATAATTAGTCCCAATTTGTAAGAAATTTACAGAGGATGGTAATGCCGAAGTACGAGCAAAATCAATAATGTTGATGGCTAAAATATCTGCTAAATTATTTAATGGGACTATGTCAATTGATTTAAAAGGGGATAAGTATACAAAATATTAAAATTAAGTAAATTTATATTTGGAAGGAATGGGAGCATTACAAGGAAAAGAAATTCTATAATAATAATAATAATAATAATAATAATAATAATAATAATAATAATAATAATAATAATAATAAAAGCAGTTATTACCAAATAAAGAAAATTTATAATTATAAGGTTCAGCTACCACTAATAATTTAAAAAAATAATCATTATAATCTAAATTGAATAAACCTCTTCAAATGAATTAATAAAATAATGAAATATAATAATTATAATATTCAACTACAATGACTGCAACTTAAGTTGATGCTTTTATAAAATAATATAAATCATTAAAAAATAAAGATTAAAGTGATTTAGGCAATATTTTACTCTAAATAACTTAGTAATCAAATTATATTTTAAATGTAACAATGGAATTTATTATCGATAAAATGCCAGAATAAAAATCTTTATGTTACTAATTATTTGAAAAGCTTGCATAAACATATAAACCTAATCATTTATCTCAATTAATTACAACCTTTAAAAATGCATCAACTTAAAGTTAGCTTTTAGAAATTCTTAATATTTTATTAAAATATATACCTTAAAGTGAAAAAAATATTGACTAATAACTTATTTCAGATTTTCTTAAAAATTATTAGCATCAATCTAATTTGAAAACAAGATCATTAGTTTAAGAATGTCAAAATGCGTTAAAATAATTATTTGAAATAAAAAAAATCTAAATAGAAGAAAAACAAATTATTCCTTTTCCATTAAATACTTTTAGCGATTAACATTTTGAACTAATAAAAGTTTAACTAAAAGTTCCCTAAATTCCATAAACTCTCTATGAAAAAATGTTTAGCTATAATATATAATAAAATTAATTAGCAGCGTCTTATATTAAATCTAAAATAACACAACCAGGTGAATTTTGTGAAATATTTTTTAAATGGGCTTATCTAATCTCTTGGATGAAAGAAAATATTCCTTTACAATAAGAAATTTCGTAATTATTCTAAATGTTAATTACTTAGCGTATACCTACTTTCTTAGAATAACAGATAATATTTTCATATATTAAAATGATGATTTTAATATATTTAAGGAATGGAGTTCCAAAATTGGCCTAAAGAACACTGCCCTTATTAATGAATTTACTGAGTGAGTACAAAAAATATTCAGTCTAACAGCCATTATTGGTAGATTTTGAAGATTTTGATGAATTATCCAATTAATAAGCAAATCAATTAATATAAATTATGTCAGACAAAGCAAGTGATTGGAATTTAAGCAACACTCTCTAATAAAAATAGCTAATTGCTTAATTCATATCTTTTATTTGGAAAGAAGAGAGCGTAATTATTAATAAATAAATTGTTTAAGCAATTCCTCCTTAATTTTAACATTTATAAATAATTTAGACATCTTAAAATAATGACAACTTATAAAAAGATTAAATTTAAAATTGTTAAAGGTTTAACCCTTTATTTGTTGTAGAATAACCAAAAACTGAATAAAATAATTCGGAGAAGAAGACTATGTAAGCCAAAAGTATATCTTACAATGGAATACCATAAATTAATTCTTAAATTATTTATGGAAATATAAACCTTATCCAACAACAATAAAATAGTTAAAATTAGATGGAAATTGAAGTAGATTAGAATATTAGAATATTTTAGTAGTTATATTTTAAGTATAACGAAACCAATAATTTTGAAAATCCTCAATTATTAGCAGATTAAATTATATTATTATTAAATAGTTTTATAAAAGATTAATCTTGTGATAAACTTAACTAATTATTAGAAAAACTATTATATATATTATCATCAGGATAATTGTTGAAGTAAATATCATATGATAAATTTTATATCATATTTGATATATTGATATTTAAAATGGTCGAGGAATCAACTAAAATAAGCAGCAAAGATATGGCTCAAAGAAATTGTTATAGTTTAATTAATCAAAATTTGATAAAAATTTTAAATAATTAAGAACTATCTATTTTGTATTTAGCTTTTTTAGATATTTTAATAAAAGTTAAAGAATCTAAGAAGTAATCAAAATAATTTTATACATTAATCACAAAATGTTTGAGTAAATCTGTTGGATAAGTAAAAAGCTAATTTTAATGGCAATAATTATAAGGAATTTTAGAAAAAATAAATAAATATTTAATTTTATGTGAAAAATAAGAACCTAATTAAGAATTTCAAGAGTCTCAAGATTTCTTATAAAAAGCACTTAAATCTACAGTAATTTATTTATTGCATTTTAATGATGGTGTTAGGGTTGGTTAATGTATTATGTAATTAACAAATGAATAATCGATTTTGAGATAATGGTTGTTAGAATTTTAAGAAAATAATTTAATTAAACAAAGAAGATCTATAGAAACCCATATCAATTAGATTATTGAATTACTAAAAATTGATTTTGAAAAGACTGTAGAATAATTTGTTTCTATTGTACGAAGATAAAATATCGATTGGAAACCTATGGTTGAATTTTTAAGTGAATAATAAATAAAATTTATCGAATTAAGATTAGAACAGACAAATCACATGAATTTATTAGAGAAAAAAGTAGGTGAATTGGAAAAGATGTTAAATTAATGAATATTAAATATAATTAACTTATTAGTATGACCCGTTTTTATATAATACATATTAATATTAATAAATGAATAAATTCATTATTGTTGGGCTATTAGCTTTGGTTTGTACATAAGCCTTAGAAATAGATTTCTCTCTATTACTATAGGTAATGAATATGAATAAAAATAATAGACAGGATCAGAATCAAATGATGCAGTTTAGGCAGTATATGATTTATTGAATGATTTGAAAACAAGTAATATTGAAGCTTAAGGTGTTGCCGATGAAAAAAATATTTCAGATGAAGAAATTGGGCAAGCTAGAATTGCTGCTCTATCAAAAGTTAACGAACTAAATTAAAAAGCATGGGCTAGTGCAAAAGCAAGAAGAGAATAAATAGGAATTGAATACAGAGTAAAATAATATGAATTATTGTATAGGAAGCAACAGATTATATTGCATGGGCTACTTAAAGATTAGCTGATATTGATAGAAGATCAGTTGAATTATAAGAATTAAGATGTTTTTCAAATGGTTTATTTGTTAGAGCTATTAAACAACATAATGATGCCTTAGGAGTTATTAGAGTCTTAAAGAATGATTTAAGTGGATATTTAACTGGTTAACCATCATCTATGGTTGAAGTGAATGTTCAAAATGTTTCAGATAAATTGAAATAATACAGTCAACTTTTTAACTAAGATGCTATGACTAAATTTGCATAATTAGCTGCTGAATAAGCTTCAGGAAATGCTGAATTACATGCATTAGGGTAAGAAGGTGGATCATCATCAGATAGATAACCAGGACTTAATGTTGGTTAATTAGTATATAATGCCTTATCTGATCTTGAAGATTAATTAAAGTCATCATTAGCTAATTTGGAAGCAAACGAAATTGCTGCTTATTATTAATTAGCAGATTGGTTAGCTGATTCAGAATCTGAAGTTGCTCATTTAAATGATGAAATCTAAAGAAAAACATAATTATAAGATAAATTAGTAGTGGTAATCTATTTCATTCAATAGTATATAGTAAGAATAAGCTGCCTTAGCCGTCTAAGCTAAAGCAAATAGCGTCTTAAAAGATTCCTAGAATGCAATCAATGCAGCAACAGCAACACTATAAGAACTTAGAGAATTATATGAGACAGAATTAAATAGAAGAAACGGTATCCATTAATTATATAAATTTAGAGGAAAATGCAATAATTGATGAAGTTATTCATATTTTCAAATAACAAGTCTTAGAAATGGCCAACTAAACTTCTTTTGGAAAGAAATGATAAAGATTTCTATCATTTAAATAAATATTATTTTTATTCATCTTACCTTATAATTATTTATCAAGTCTTAAAAAATATTATCAATAAATTTTAAAATAAATTTAATAAAACAAAAAATCTGTAATTTAAAATTCCAAAGAATATAACAGTTAGTAAAAACAAGATTATTTCCCTTGATTAAAATAAAAATACAAATATATTCAAGGTCGTAAATTTCATCAATGATTTTTCGAAAATACTTATTTATATATATTTAAAAATAGAATTACATATCATAATAAGTAATCTATTATTTGATTGAGTTTAATTCTATTAATTTGTTTATAAAGAAAAATTAATTTATATAATAATTATTATAAGTTTTTTTAATACTTTTTGACTTTCTAAAATCATGAACATTTTTGATACAAAAGCTAATTCTGAAGGATTCTTCTCAAAATATGGAAGATTAACATCACAAAAGTTTTATATTTTAAGAAAACCAAAAGTGATAATTAAGTAAAAAGTGCATTAGGAAGAGAATTCATTATTTGTTGAAGAGTTTCCATAAGAAAGTCCTAAAAATAAATTACTAATTGATAAAAACCTATTTCCAATTTACTAATTAAAGAAAAGTAATCTTAAAAATTTATCAAAAACCTTTTAATTTCAAACACCTTTAAGATCTAGATCACTATAATTTGCCAAAAAATAATCCCTATAGAATTCAGAAACTCTAAGTTTTAGTAAGACTTCAAAAAAAATAGGAGAATCATTTGACTCCAAAAAAAAAAATTTTAATTACAGCAGAGTATCAGGGGAACTAGAACAATTATAATATTTTTGACTTTATTTAATTTATTATAAAAATAAAATTATAGCTGTTTAATATTATATCCATATAATTTTTTAGATCATATTTCGAAGTAGATAAACACAATTTATTTAATCAATTATGAAATCATTAGGTAATAAAGAAAATGTAATACCTAAATAATATAAGATTCCTTCTTCACAAAATATTCTATAAGAAAGCAAAAATAACAATGGTAAAGGGACCTAAAGATAGAACACAACTCGTATTACATTTGTATGATTTTAGCATCAAAATTAAAGTGCTACTATAATTAATTTGAAGTAAAATTTTAAAAAAGATCAATTTCTTTTATCGAGGAAACTTTATAAAAAGCTAATAAAGAACAAAATCTTGTTTCTACCATATAAAATGAAAAGGATTAAAACTACTCTGATAGTGAATAATCTCAGGATTCAATTAATATTTGGTAAGAAGAATGTAAATATGAGGATTTATTTGACTTATTTTAATTTAGATTAACTAATTCTTATAAAACAACTGATCAAGTGTAGAATAATGTAATAAATTTAATAAAAAGCTATAAAAAGCTTTTTGGATATAGCATATTTAGAACAAATATTGGAAAAAATCCATTTTATCATATGCAAAGAAGAATGAACTCACTAAAGAGCTTTGATGAGTAAAAGTAGAACACAAGATACTCAAAGTACTCTGTTAAATTTAAATTATAAGAAAATAAGCTTCCTTTTGGAAAGATTTCTTATATGAATAATTTAATTACAGTACAAAATAATAAGGAGAAGACACGTTGATTATCTATAAGATTAACAATTGTTACATAATGTATATTAATAAAATATGAATAATAAATAGTAATTAGGGAGTATAGCTCAGTAGCAGAGCAGCAGACTGCAGATCTGTAGGTCTCAGGTGCGAACCCTGATGCTCCCTTCTTTTTTTTTTTGTTTTTATTAATACAATTGTATTTAATTTCATAATATTAATATTTAATACTACTTAATTTATTATTATATCATTATATTCTAATAAATCTAAACTAATTCAACTTATCCAATAAATCTTTAATCTCATTGTACTTTCAAAAATTAAAATATATTTATTATTAAAAATATTCATACACCATCATTCATCATTAAACAAATATAAATTTTAATAGAAACTCAAAATAAAAGTGTAATCTCTATTATAAAATTAAGTTGTCTGAAATATTTTTTGAAAAATTATAGATGAGCATTTTATCCTCTTTTTGTTTTCAGGAAATGGGATCATTCAAAATGATATTGCTTATATTTAAAAGCCATAATTTTTAATTGTAGATATTTAGCTTAACAATTATATATATATAATGAATAATGATGATTTATAATTTGATTACATGTAATAGAAATCATAATTAGAAATGCTCTTATACTTTGGATATATCCTCAGTTGATCGATCCTCATCTGGTTAAATGAGTTCCTTAATAGCATCATTATGAACTGCTAATACAGCTCTACCTGATTCGTCTGTATTTTTTTTGAAAGCTTCATCCCATTCTAATGCCTAAATGATTATTATATATGGATTACTTTTTCGGTTGAACAAGCAATAGATCTGGCATATGGAACAGTCAAAACAGAACTTTCACTTGGGAAATAGGATGTATAAATTTATCTAAACCAATATTATTCTTTATCTCTAGGAGTGGATACTGGATATTTGATAGATGCTTAAGAAAACTCTTAATCTGTAATTAATTGGTTAGCTCTCTTAATAATACCATCTCTCCAACTATAACCAACACCATCACTAAATTATTCCTTTTATCTCCATAAAATTTCTTATGGTACATAAGGATGTTCTAAATCTTCAAATGCTTTTCTAAGAATGTATTTTTCCATTTAAGGTTCAAAGGCATTAATCATTTTATATTTTGGATCAATTTACATAACATACTCTACCCATTATTTATTCATAAATGGAGGTCTAGTTTCAATACCCCAAGCCAAACAAGCCTTATTGGCTCTAAGAAGATCATATTTATGTAGATCATGAAGTTTTCTGATTAATTCTTAATGAAATTCAACTCTGTTGGGTGCTTTATGGAAATACAAATATCCACCAAATAATTCATCACTTCCTTCACCTGTTAAACATATTTTAATTCCTAGAGCTTTGATTCGTCTACACATCATATACATTGGTGTTGATGCTCTTATGGTTGTATTATTGAATGTCTCTGTATGATATATAACTTCAGGAATGTAATCTAATCCTTCATCTACAGTATATGTGAATGAATGATGTTCAAATCCATGGAATTCGGCCACTTTCTTAGCAAAATGTAAATCTGGAGATCCTTCCAATCCAATACAAAAAGAATGAACTTTTCTCATCCCTCTTTTACTCAAATCTATTTCTCCTTTCTTTATTAATTTAGCAACAATTCCTGCAACTATTGATGAATCAACACTATGATAATCTTCATAAATTAGATACCCTCCTGAAATAAACAATCCAAATGGAGCATCACCTTAAACTTCTCTTCTAACCACTTCCACAAATTTATCTCTCAATTCTTCTAAATTGATCTGTCCTGTTGGAATATGATCAAAATTATGCCAAGTTGGATTATACCATCTCTTGATCTCATATGACTCATCAATATAATGGCCTAAAATACTATTATTAATATAAAACCTGGAGGGAACTATTTAACATCCATAACTTAGTCATGAATTCCTTTTAATTCAGATGATAAGAATAGCGATCCTTCCTTATCGTAACCATAATATAAAGGAATTATTCCAATATGATCTCTTCCTGCTTGAAATGATTTCTTGTTCATATCTATTAGAACTGTGGCAAACATTCCATTAAGGTGGTTCCAAAAGTTGCCTGCCCCATACTATATTGTATTTTTCAATCATATTACTTCTTTGTATAACATTCCAACTATCTCTGTATCTGAATTACTACTAAATCGATATCTCTTCTCTAATTCTGGTCTTAAATCCCAGTAATCATAAAGTTCACCGTTTTACATAAAGATTATGTTTTCATCATCCATTAATTAAAATGGTTGCCTACCTTTATCACTCAAATCCACTAATCCCAATCTTTCATGAGAAATCACATGATACAAACCTGGGCTTATTTCCTAAACATTATGGATATATCATTACAAGAACAATTATTTTTGATCTATCTGGACCTCTATGTCTTATTCTTCTAGACAATTCATAGGCTTTTGCCCTTACTTCAACTTCTGTTCCTCTAATATTTAAAATGGCCAAAATCCCACACATTGGACAATTAAAGATTATATGCTTTTTGAACCTTAGCATGTCCTTTAATATTACAGATAATCCGTAGTTTAATATGCCATCATTAATTAATTGACGAAGAAACAGGAAGACCTTACTAATTATATAAAAACGATTCAAATTGAATTATAATAATTTGTATTATTTAATATTATAAATTATTTTAATTAAAATTCATATTAATAACGCATCATGAAAGTTATAAGGTATTAATCATTAATTATTTAAATTTTTATTAGTATATTCTTATTTTTCAAATTTCTAATTCTTTTCCATTCTTATTTATATATTATTCTAAGGTAATTATGAATTGAGATTAATTTTTTTTATGATTCTTCATTATTCCTAACATTTTTCTTTAACCTAATTATTCAACTCTATTTTTGTTGTTTCTCAAAATTTTTCTTCCTTATCTATATTTAATAATTAGGTATTGAAATAATATGGCAAGCTTCAAACATTCATTAAGATTATGTATGCTCTATATTTAAATTTCAATAAGAATAGAGAAAATTAAAGAAGTAATTGCGGTGGGTTTGTCCTGTATAATTTATTAAAATTGTTGGAAGATGTTATCCTAAAACAAATTAATTTCAAAAAATGAACAACTAAGTTGATTTTAATATTCAACAAAAAATTACTTAAAAAATTTTTAGTATTATATACTGATATATTCATAAAGAGAGAGCTTTTGAAAAGCTTAAAATTACATATTGATATATTGAATTTAAAAGGTTTATTTCTTTGATACAACATTATCAAATTCGATTATAAATTTAGATAAGAAATATTTTTTACTATTTATTCACATCAATATTAAATTTAGTGGAAAAAAAAATTAATGTTGAAATACATTATGAATATTAATAATAATTTATAGAACTTTAATTTTATTTCGTTAAATTTGATTTTAGTATTAATGTATTTTCTTAGTTTAATAGGATTACATCTCTTTAGTTTTGAATTTCAGTGAAGCTAAAACACTGATTTTATGCCTTTTTCTATAAATTAAAAACAAATTATACGAATTTAATTTAATTCCTGCTAAATCAATATAGTCTCAAGATAATAAAATCTCAAATAATATTAGTTTGTAAGCTTAAAATAGAATAATAAGATATATTGAATCCTTTTATTTTGAGTTTCTATTAAAATTTATATTTGTTTAATGATGAATGATGGTGTATGAATATTTTTAATAATAAATATATTTTAATTTTTGAAAGTACAATGAGATTAAAGATTTATTGGATAAGTTGAATTAGTTTGGATTTATTAGAATATAATGATATAATAATAAATTAAGTAGTATTAAATATTAATATTATGAAATTAAATACAATTGTATTAATAAAAACAAAAAAAAAAAGAAGGGAGCATCAGGGTTCGCACCTGAGACCTACAGATCTGCAGTCTGCTGCTCTGCTACTGAGCTATACTCCCTAATTACTATTTATTATTCATATTTTATTAATATACATTATGTAACAATTGTTAATCTTATAGATAATCAACGTTTCTAATTCTTAACATTTAATTTAGTTTTTTTTATAAATTCCTACATATTTATATTTTCCTGTTTTTCTGTATTCATTAAAGTATTAAATTTAGTTTAATCTATTGTTTCATTATATTGAAATGATTTATAAAATATTACTAAATTCTAATATCTGAAAATTCATTACTATTTTGTTAAGCCCCATTTTAATATTAATGTTTTTTAGGAAGTTTTTAATACTTTCAGTCAACTTTTATAAGATTTTAATGAGAATTTAAATATTATATAGGGTTTATAGAAAAAAATTTAATAATGAATATTACTTATAAAATTAACAGAATCTCAAGGATAATCATGATTAATTAAACTATTTCAAAATAAAATTTTTAATTTGCGAATGTTTGTGAAAGAATTATTACAAATATAAGAATATGTAGAACAAAAAAAGTCTAGCGGTAAACAAGTATCCTTAAAGCCTCTTATTGATATTTGTGTCCATAAATATTAAAAAGAAGAAGTTTAAGAAGCATTAAACTAAGCATTGACAAATGAACTTAAGTCTGAATGGATATCTTAACAAAATATAGATATCTTGATCTTATGTTATAAAAGATTAAGATGTGATGTATCTATGGAAATAATTGAAAAAACATTTGAAATTTCAATTGATAATTTACAAAGTAATTACATCATTAATTTATAGCCACAAAAAGAATATTATCCATTTGCACTGAGGAACAATTAAGAAATCTATGTTCTAAATATATTTCAACATAAGGATATGTAAATAAAATAGTTAAACCTATTTATGAAAGTCTTATGAATGTAAATGATCAAACAATGATCATAGTTGATAAAGTCAAGAAATTATATAAGAACTTATTTTCTTTATTAAAGGTTCAAAAGTAGTGGGTTTTAGAGAGAGCTATGGAATTTGTGTTATTTTCAGAGGATATTTATACAGAAAAAAGTTAAAAATTTGTTGCTTAATAATTTTAAGAGATTAGATCAATTATTTATGCATTTATTATAAATGATGATGAAATTAGATTAAATTTTGTTAAGTATTTACCTTAGATCTTTTAATAACACAACCCAAAGAATGAAGATTTCAAATTGCATTGTAGTGAATTAATAAAAATAGCTTTATTTAGTAAAAGTGTTAAGTAATTAATAACATATGAATAATTTTGGTAAGCTTTACATGATTCATATTAAGTTTATTCTGATTTAACAAATAATAAAATATGTGTTGCCATTTTAAATGAAGTTTTATTACATATTGATGATGAGAAAATATAATAACATTTTAAATTATTTACAGATTTATTTATTACATTAGACAGTTTTGGTACTCATTTAACAAAAGATGTTTGGGTTAAAATGGATCCATTTACACAAAAATAATAATTTAAAATAGATAATGAATTGAAAAGATAATTATTCTAAAGCATTAAACCTTTATTTATACTTATTAATAAAGCAGCATAACATTCAAATGAAAAAACAATCAAAAATTGTATTAAATCTTTATTCAAAAAATAAATCGATGTTAATTATTTAAAACCATTAATAATTGAAATAATCATACCAGTTTTGAATAAGCCAGTATTTTATCTTGATACTCCTTTGGAAGGAGATTCCAAATTTTATGAGCTTCTTAAATAGTTCTTGGTAAAGATTCCTTATATAGATGATATAATTATATAAATGGTTTAACATATATAATATCCATTGGCAGTTGGAGCTTTCAGTGTATCATTAAAAGATATAAAAGTAGAGATTACATAGTTTTCATTACTAATCTAATTTATTGAATAAAATTTAATGAGATTAAATCTAAGAAAAAGAATACAATTGTTATAAGCTGTGCTTAATTTATATAAGTAAAATACTAGTCCTGAACAATTATTTTAACTTATCAAAGTAATTCCTTTTGATTGTCTTTTTTTAAACAACATAGGAGAACTATTAAAATCCTTAATAAATGAAGATTTTTTATTGTATGCATAATAATAATAATAAAAATTTGATATAAATTCAAATTATCATTAATTTGCTGTTATATATCACTTAACATAAGATCATAAATTATTCATGAATTTTTATGAACCTATAATTTCTCAATTATAATAAATATATACTAGTACGTATACCCAAAAAGAAACAAAACATAAAATCTTAGAATAATTAACATATTTATTAAAAACATCTAATCAAGTTTAATTTTTAGAACAAATAAGCTCTGGGTTATTTGCTTATTTAACTTTAGATTTGGAGGGTGCTATGATTGTTACTGAAGAACTATGGATATCTTCATTATAACATTTTGAATTGGTTCCATAATTGACTTAATAGATGAGTAAATTTGTTGGGTTTTTGTTCTAATAATAATTTGATAATTTTAATATTATTCATTTAGAATTGTTAATCAAAACTTTAAAAGCTACAAATATTTCATTGTAATAAGCAAAGAGAAATAAAACTGGATTATTTGTTGAAGAACTATTTCTAAAATATGGTTTATAATTATTAAACAAATTATAAACAATTGAATAAGACAGATAATTAAAAAATTTAACATTACATTATTTAAGTCATATTTTAACCTTATTCAGAGAAGTAAATCATAAACCATAAGAGTATCATACATAAGTGTAAAATTTAATTAATAATATAATTGATATTACAGATTAATTTAATGCTTATGATTCAATAATTTTGTATTAATTATTAAGATCAGTATATGGACCTGAAATAGCATTCAATAAAGAATAAAGTGAGCAATTTAAGAAAGTTGCAATTAACTCTTTTCAACAAATGATGTATATATTTGGAACTCATACTAATTTAGATGAAATATTAGCATACATAGATTTTATTATTGATCCATGTTATTTTGAAGGAGAATTATATGAGGCAGTTGAAGAGGTTATTAGAGTAATAATGAAATAGCACTAAAAATAATGGGTTATACAAAGGAAGATTGCTAACAATTTAGTCATATGTTTACATAAATATCCTAATAGATTACCAACATTTTACTATATATTATTTAAGTTAATAAAAGGAAGTGAATTGAGAGGGTATGATTCTTCTGAAATTTTGTAATCATCAGAGTAATATGTACCATTAGCAAATAATGTTAAGCATTTGATTTCATGTAAAGGAGAATTTTATGGAGCATATCCAAGATTCTTAATCTTTAATTTCTTGTTTGAATTGGGAAAATAAGGAGGATATGAAAAAGAGTTATTATATTATATTAAATTCTTAATAGAAGTATCAATTAAGGATAAATATAAAAATGCATATATGCAATACACAAAATAATTTAGAATGAAATTACATGTATGGTAAAATATATGTTGTTTAAAATATTTATTAAAGCCAGAAAATTATTAAAAAGTATTTGGTGATGAAAAGAAATATTTAATAGAATTAGAATAATTAATATGGAAAGCATTTGATACTTTAAATAATCCTTAATATAGATAATATATTGAATTAATGATGAGTTTTTTGATAAATAATTATCCTGATATTTGGGCTCCAAGATTGCTTTAAACTTTTAGTGATCCAAAATTAAAAGTAAATATCTAAATCCCAACTACATTTATATCTTGTATTTTCTTATTACATAATTAATAAACTAAATTTTCATAGAAATTCTTTGATAAACTATTTCCTTTAGTTAGTTCAAATGTAGCTTATATTAGATCTCTTTGTCAAACTACATGTTTATAATATATAAAGAAATAAAAATTGGAATATAAAGACTTCATTGAATATTTTGAAAGTAATAGAGAATGTTAGAAGATCATAAAGAATATTAGTGCTTTAATTGAAAGATATGAAAAATTGATGTTATCATTTGATTTGGATGGTATATTAACAATATAATTTGATACATTTGGTGAGATTATTCATCCATCTATAATTGAAATACTTAAGAATACATGTACTTAATCTATTGCTGAACTTAAAAGTGAAGACAATATGAGTGAGAATCCTCCACCTCCTTGGTTCTAATATGTTGAAAGATAATAATTAAGTACATAATATTCGTAATAGTTAAATTTCTAAAGGAAAATCAATTTGATAATGGATTAATTTGATTTATTTAAGGCATATTAACCAAGATAAATTGTAGGGGATATTATTGTTGTAGCAACCTTATTAGAAAAAATACCTAATTTTGGTCATCTTACTAGAACTTGTGAAATATTTGGATGCAGAGAATTGGTTTTACCTAACAAAAAAATCTTATAAGATGAATAATATTAAGCAGTAAGTGTTAGTGCTGAATAACATTTACCCATTTTAGAAATTAAAGAAGAGCATTTAATGAATTATTTGTAATTAAAAAGATTATAGGGCTATTAATTAGTAGCATTAGAATAAACAAGTTAAAGTAAATCAATTGTGAATTTTAAGTTTGACAAGAAGACTGTTTTAGTTTTGGGTAAAGAAAAGACTGGATTACCTATTGAATATATAGAATTAATGGATAATTGTGTTGAGATTCCATAATATGGTGTTATTCGATCTTTAAATGTACATATATCAGCTGTCATTTGTGTTTGGCAATATATCTAATAATGGTGTTGATATTAAATTAAAATTATTAAAATTTTTTATATATATCATGCATTCTTATAATATCTATTAAATGCTGGTGAATAAATTAATTTAAAGAATATTACAGCAAATATGGCTCCAGCAAAAGGTCCTGCTATAAATACCCACATAGAATCTAATCTTTCAATTTCATTAGTCTTTAATACTTAAAATAATTCCAAGGCCACTGCCATTCCAGGATTTAAACAACCTATTAAATTAATCTTTTCTATACCTCCAGAATGGAATGTGTAACATCTTGATAAATGTAATGACAGAGTAATAAGAGTAATGCTAGCAATTGGTTTATCAGAGAAAGTCGTTTTAGGATTGCCTTTCAATTATTTACAGATTTTACATTAAATTAATATCATTAGAATGAAAGAAAATGCCCCAAGAGCTTCACCACATAAGTCAGCAATTATCCAATGAAAATTCAAATCAGTCACCATAGGACTATTGATTTATCCCAAAACCATATAACAAAAGAATCCACCACCAAATGCACCAATCAGTTAAGCAATCCAATATAATAGACAAGTACCAGTTGATATTTATCTAGTCAGCCACATTGCTAATGTCACCTATTTATTATATCTAAATTACAGCTGGATTAATGTGTCCTCCACTAATTGGTGCACATAAAGCCAAAGACCCGAAAAATGCTAACGCTATCTTACCATCACTTCCATTTGAACATACAATCCTAAATTCTCACATTTTCATACCCATAAGCAAATAATGCCATAGAAATCATCTCTATTAATGCTCCATTGAATTTCTAAGCGTGCCTTTATGAAAATGTCAAATGTTTTTCTTCCATTTTATTCTTTTTATTTTCTAATAAATTTATTTATATAAATATGAAGCATTAGTATCATCAATCAAATTAAATTTACTCAATTTTATCTTCTAATAATATGTCTAATTCAGATTCTAACTTATCATCTTTACATTATTCTCTTTAGTATTATCATTAAATTTATTCGAACCTCAATTTCATTATATCATCAAATATCCTTATATACTTATTTGATATCATTTAAAATAATGGATAGTATTTAACAACACATCTCTTTTTAATTATTAAATTTATGATTTTAGAATCAATACTACTATAATTAAGTTTAAGTTCTAGTTAATTTACAAAATTCAGAATATATTGTAAATTTATGAATTCAAATTCAAAAATAAATCCTTTTCAAGATAATGTAAACCAACATCTGCTATCACAATCTCCATTTTTATTCGCAATAAAGCATTTCAAATGATTATAATATATTTCCATTTGATTTCACTATTTTAATTATAATTTATTTTTGATAGTATAATTCTAACTATTATCTTTATTTATGTAATTTAAAGGCTAATGATTTGCATTTATATTTTTAATATGAAATAAAAATTAATTATGGGGTTGACTTATTCTGTGATTTACATATGTTGGTGTAAGCATGTTAAAAAAATGTGGGTATATGAATATTAATGAATTTAGCTTGAAAATGATGTAGTCAAATTTTATTCAAATCATGTCATGCCTTATAAAAATAGATATTAATGAATTCTATTCTAATACAATAAACTATTTTCGATTATATTTATGCCAAAAATTATTTATTCTCATTTATTATTCTATTCATCTTTAAATTATTATCTCTTTATACAACTTCATCTTGAATTACATAAATTCTTAATAAAAATTATGATCAAATCACATCTTTTCTTTCAAAGGATTAAGAATTTCAAACCTATTGTACTTATGGTTTTCGGTTTAATCAATAAGTTTCTTAGAAATTTGATTATTTTTAAAATTTGTATCAATAGATCTATACATATACCTAATCAGCCTAATGTTTAGTGTGTATTCTAATGAAAATTCTAATGTATTATTGATTCTTCATATAGGTTGTAATCTGATTGATTAATCAAAAAAATTTAAATCTTTTTATTAAAAAAATTATTATGGGAAAACTTCACGGTACATTAGCAAAGGCTGGTAAAGTCAGAAAACAAACACCTAAAATTGAAAAGTAAGTTAGAAGACACAAAATTCCAAAGGGAAGAGCTTATAAAAGAATTTGCTTTAACAGAAGGTTATTGATTTATGATGTAATACATTAGATTTGGAACAGCTGTTGCTGGAACAGGTCCTTAATAAAGGAAAAAAGGACCAAATTGGCATGCAGGCAGAAAGGATTTAATTGAAGAGGAAAGAAAGAAATAAGTTGAATAAAGAAGATAAAGAAAGAAGGATGTACCAAAATGATTAATACAATAAAGTAAATTATTATTCAAACAAATAAGATAATTTTAAATAGCAATTTAATTCTCTCTTTTCTAATGATATTTTTAATATTCCTCCTTCATACATATATCTTTAAAAAACAATTAAATGGGTTTATAATTTATAAAGCTTCATAAATCATTTGTATTTTAATAAAATAGCCATCAATAAAGGTTATTACATGAATCAAATTAATTTTTTCTATTAAATCTAATAATTTCAATTATTAAAGTATCAGTTTATATTGAGTTCTGAATCAGTATATAGAGTTCAGTACTCATAATAATATATTTCAAAAGAGTTAATATAACAGTAATATAAATCAAATCATTAAAGTTTTTAATAAAAAGAATAAGAATATATACACAAAATCAAAAGATGCTTTCAGAAGACTTTCTTGACCAGCTTGATATATTTTCAATTAAATTATATTCTACTTGTGTTTGTTAATCAAGTTTAATTTGTTATTCTTTTGCAGCAATCATATCTTTTAGAACTAATGTTTATATTGATGTTTTATTCTTTATATCAAATCTTAAAGGACTTGAAGAAAGCCTTAAATTTGAATCTTAACTTGCCTATTAAAATCTTTTTTCTTAGCTCTTTTTAGTAGTTCCATCTATGATTAAGTTGCTTTGTCTTGAGGAAGTACGGATGGTGTTTAACCTTAAATTTAAAGGGGCTATATTTTAAGGTCTGGAAAGGGGATTCAATTTTAGAATAGAGGGAAATTTATTTTCGAATTCACTTTGGCAGCGAAGTCTTTCATTTTATGCGTATTGAATTTGCTTTAACATATTTTAAACTCGGATTTGGAAACTCATATTATTGAAGGGAGGCTTCTATTTTTAAGCATAAACTTTATGTAATAATCTACATCGGTTATTCTTCTCTTTTTCCATCCTATTTAATTATTCATTCATTTTAAATAATAAATTTATATAATATTAATTGCATCATTATTAAAAAATAAAACTATTAATTTTCATTCTATAAAGCATGCTTTATTTCATTTGAAAAAATGTAATCAATTTTTAAAAGTAAGGTTTATTACATTAACATAAATCTTCAAGAACTTTTTCAATTTCATTTAATTCTCCTTCATTTATTTCATTTTCCTTTTAAAATTCTTTTATTTATTTAATTTAATTTCTAAACATTAATTAATCAACAGAAAAAAACTAATCCTTTAATATTATTGAAAATTCTAATTCACTGAATTTGATTTGATTATTAATTTACTATTTAAAGATAAATTTTTACATTCAAAATTTTTAATTTGTTAACATAATCATAAACTTCATTATTAATATCTTTAGTATATTTTAATTCTTCATTTTTCTAAAATATATCAGAAATTTCAATTTTATTAATTGATAGTGAAAGTGGAATATACAGATATTCATCAACATTCATATATGGGATATTATAAAATAAGAATATATTGTCTTCTGATTTTTCAAATTTAAGTGAAGGATGTTAAATTTATTAAATTTTATCATTAATATCTTAAAAAATTCCATTTATTTTGATATTAGTATAAATTATTTAATTTAAAATGGATAAACTAATTATATAAATTATTACCCAGTAGGAAGTAACTATAAAATTCCTTTGTACTAAAAATCTAAAGTTAAGAATATCTAATGCAATTAAAGATTCTCTAAATAAATTTCATTCACATTAGTAGGATCGCCACAAAAATATATATATGGAAAACTATTAACTTTTTCTATGATTTTTTAATCAAAGTCTTTTGAAAATATTATTATTCTGCATTCTCTAAAATTTTGATTAGAATAATTGTCAAAAGCTTCCAATTCTGCATTAAATTTATTAACATTTTCTAAAGTAAAATCAAAAAAATGAGTTTGAAATGAATACTATAATAATAATATTAATGTATAAACCTTCATAATTTCATTTTTTAATCTGTATTACAATTTGTCATTTGATAAATTAAAAATTATACAGAAATAGCATTCATGACATTTAATAAATTAGAAATTTGAGATTTTTAATAATTATAAATTGGATAATTTTGAAGCTTCTTAATTTTGAATTAGTTCATATTATATTTATATACTTTAGTTAATGAGGCTATAAAATTTTTGACTTTATTCATCATCACAAATGTTATTTGAAGTATTATTAATCGATTTAACTAATTCTCCAAATTTTTATTCTTGGGTCATAGAAGATGAAAGAGATTTATAATATTACATAAATTAATTATTTTTTTTTTGAAATATTTTTTAATAAAATGTAAGTAGAGGGTAGCGATAGAAAATTGAAAACTAATAGTGTTAATGATAGTTAAAAAAGCATTTCATCCAAAAATAACTTAAATAATTAAGCCTTCTTTAATGTTGAAAATCAAAATCAAAAATTGATTGTAGATTTAACTTTTAAGATAGGGATCATACTTAATTAATTCAAAAGGATTAGAAGTTATTATGCCATAGTTTAAATAGATAAAGGAATTTGAAGACTTAAGACCTAAAGCAATTAAAAAATAATTATAGGATCCTTTTGAATAGAGAATGGCTTTATTAAAAAATGAATTAGAAGATGATCAACCATAAGATTAATTAACATCGATAATTCATTAACATTCTAATATTAGTGAATCAACATTTATGCATTAACTATTAATTTAAGAATAATTAAAAGAAGTCACATGCTAATTTTAAAATGATTATTTTGTTCAATTCTTAGAGAAACCAGAAAAGGATGATTATAGGAAAAGAGCAGAAATTTTAGCTAAAGTTTATATGAAAAATAATTTACAATAGGAAAGACACAAAGTAGAAGAAGAATTGAAAATTAATTAAGTATAAAATCTAAATTATATATTAGTAATTTACAGAAGAGAATGACGAGTAAGATCGTTCAATGAATATTATTATCCATAAAAATCTAACTGGTTTCTATTAGAGATAAGATAGTATAGAATAAGATAATAATGAATAAACATAAGAAATCATTTAAAGAATAGATTAATTATACTTTTAATTATGTTAATCAATAGAATAAAAGATATATGAGTTATATTAAAATGATTAAATAGATGAATGTATTATTTGGAAAGAAAGAAAAGAAAATTTAGAAACAGATATTTCAAATGTTAAAGATAATGGATAACTTTTGTAAATCATTGAATTATTTAAATTTCATTATAATCTATGAATAAATGAAATTATTTAAAAATATAACTCTATTAGTACTATTTTATTTACAATATTTAATTTTATAATTATTCTTTTTATTACATTAACAATCTAATATATATATATTTATTTTGTCATCAATGTCCATATATTGAGAAAAATCTATTTTTATAAATTACGGTTTTACTTTGGTTTTAAGTAAATTGATTATTATTATTAATGATTGATTATAAGCAATTTAAAATTTATTATATTATCGGTAATAGTAATAACAAATGAGTAATGTAAATTCTTATTAATATCAATTATTTTTGAATAATTCTATCTTCGTCTTAGATATATTATGATGGGTTTCAGAATGAGTGATTGAAGAATAATATTATTATATATTTATTTAAATATAATTTAAATCTTGAAGATGAATAAAACACTCTAGGTAAAAGTTTTGATAGCATAAATAAATAATAATTATGATTTCAAGGCTAACATAAATCGAATCAATATATCCTTATAAAAGTACTCATCTAAAGATGAAATTGATATTTTAGTTTTCCCTGAAATGGCTTTAATAGGGTATAATATTAATAGAATATATTAGATACTATTATCCTGATAAAAATGCTATAAAACCATACTTAGAATAATATGCAAAAGGACCTACTTATGAATTTTGCAAATAATTAGCTTTAAAGTTAAAATGCTATGTTGCTTGTGGGTATGCAGAAATTGATGGGGATAAATTATATAATTCAGCAGTTGTTGTTAATAGAGAGGGAGAAGCTGTATTAAATGTAAGAAAGAAACATTTATTTGAAACTGATAAAACTTGGGCAGATGAAGGTTAAGAATTTAAATGTTTAGAAATTAAAACAACAAAAAATTAAAAAATAAAGTTTGCATTTGGAATATGTATGGATATAAATCCATGGGAATTCAAAGATAATAGTAAATTTGAATTAGCAGATTTTTGTATACAGAATTAAGTAGATGGTTTAATATTTATGGCTGCATGGAATGTAAATATATATGATTCTATATTTTAAGGATCATGAACCTGATAATAATGACAATAGTGGAATATTGGATTATTGGGTTTGGAGACTTAAACCTATTAGAGATGGTAAATCTAATAATTATCATAAATAATTTCTTTTCGTTTGTTCAGATAAGGTAGGAAAAGATGAGAAAACATAATATATGGGGTCTAGTTGTTTGATTAAACTAAATCCTGCTAAATTAATACAAGATTTAGAAAAAAAGTAAGAAAGCTATTTAATATGTAATGTTTAATTGTGATAATATATTTTATATATAAATATTATTCATATAATTTAAAATGGAAGAAAAGAAAGAAACTTAAGACCTTGCTCAATTAAAAAAGGAAATGCTTGGAACAGCTATTATCAAAGTAATAATCACTGTTAAATAAAGGATACAGATATGAGTCCCGATATGCTTTCAGAAGTTTAAGACTCGATAGTTTCAGGAATTGAAAATAATTCATCTCCAGTATTATCGATTGAAGTATAATAAATTATCAATTTTATTAAAGAATGCATGCAAAACAATTAAAGAAGCACTTGAAAAGAAGTATGGTCCAACTTGGCAAGTGATTATAGGTAATTTATTGTAATAATCAATTCTAAGGTGAAGGATATGCTTATGATGTTACAGTATAAAACAATACTAGATTATTTATGTTTTATAATGGTAATTTAGCTTGTCTAGTATTCAAATCATGATGCATATTTTAAATATCAACCTTATAAAATAACTTAATAAGAAAAATTAACATTATTTAATATCTCTATATACAAATATCTTCATAAATTGATATTCATTTTCTCTTAAGCGAACAATTAAATATGTTTTAGCTTATTAATTTAACTTAAAAAAGATTTTAAGATTTATTTTTACAATAATGCTATATAAAACATGTAATTTAAATAAAAAAACTATAGTGCTTTGAACAATCTAAAACATTATATAAATTAGAATTTATAAAACCATAATATTTATTCTATAATTTTATTCTTCTTGAATTTATTTGTCTACTTTCAATAAGTAAAAAATACTTAAAAAAATTAAAACATAAAGAAGAGTTTTATAAATTGATTTTTAAAAGATAACTTGAATTAACTTCTGTTTTTAAATCTACTCTATTGTAGCAATTGAAATTTATAGTTAAATAGTTAATTATATTCCTAATGAAAGACTATGTGAATTCTAATATTTATAGATTATCTAAAGAATCAAAATTTTATTAAATAACATTGACTAATTCGCTTATTTGCTTCTTTAAGATTTTTTAAGTACAATGTGTTAAGTATATGCTTAAGAAACTGATTTTTCAAAGTTATATTAAGTATTAGTTAATAAATTTACTAAGTAAATAATAGAATGTATTACTTTATTAACAAATATTTGAATAAACTTTAATTATTATGTTTTCCAAAGATTCTAATTTTGGATATGATTTAAATTCAGAATGCTCATCTAAAGGGCTTGTTGATACATTATGGATATACAATCTGTATTCATGTTATTGTAAAAATTATTGATTGAATGATAAAATGATGATGAAAATTGATCTCATATTAAGATAAATATTAAGTTACTTTTCAAATATTATATGATGTATAAACATAAGAACTAAAAAATTTCCTAATTATTTTTATTCATAATAAGAATTAGCTAAATTATTATAGATGTTTACATCTTATTGTTGAATTGATTCTAAAATTGGATATTAAGATAATATTTTTGTTTATTTTCTATTAAATCCTTGAGTAACTTATAGATTATTGAAAAAAATTGAGACAAAAATAATTTAATTAAGTTTTGAAAATTAAGTCAGTTATTTTAAAGAAAGATTATATTATGATGATGTTTAAGTAGATTCATTAATTTAAAGTTTGGAATTTAGAACATTTAATTTTATAATTACTTTTAATTAAATCTAATGAAATAAACTAAATTTGGAGGAATAGAATTCAACTGTGGAGATCGTTATCAAATTGTAAAATTGATTGGATCAGGTACATATGGTTCAGTAGTCCTTGCTTATGATATATAACATAAATCTAGGAAGGTATTAGTGTATAAATAGACATCAGGTTGCCATTAAAAAATTAAATTAAATAGAAGATGTGATCGATGCAAAAAGAATTTTGAGAGAAATACTTATTTAAAGATAAATGGATCATCCAAATATATTAAAAATCTATGATATCTTGTATGACTCTTAAAATTTTGATCTTTATATAGTAAGTGAATACTATCCCACAGATTTGGGAAAAGTTGTTGCCGGTCATTAAGAGTTAAGTGTGGAACATGTTTAATTTATAATGTATTAATTATGTAAAGGTTTACATTATTTACATTCATCTAATTCTATTCACAGAGATATCAAACCTAGGAACATATTGGCAAATGAGAAATGTGAAGTTTGTTATTGTGATTTTGGTTTTGCTAGAAAATTTGATGAAAATGAAGAATAATAAGGAGATGAAAGCATGACTGAATATGTAGTCACACGTTTTTACAGAGCTCCTGAAATTATGTTATCTAGTTCTCGTTACTCTAAACCTGTTGATGTTTGGGCATTAGGTTGTACATTTGCAGAGTTAATGAGTAGAAGAATTCTATTCCATGCTCCAAATTATCTTTAGATGATCAAACTAATATTTGAAATATTAGGTAAACCTTCAGATGAGGAATTAAGAACTTTTGTAACAAATGTTAATGCCTTATCATTTATTGAAAAACTACCTCACAAAACCCCATAACCTGCTTCTTTTAGTGTTCCTTATCCTGATGCTAAAGCTAGGGATTTATTAGATAAAATGTTATAATTGAATCCTTTAAATAGAATTACTATTTAATAAGTAAGAATTATTTAATCTTAGTGTTTAGAACATCCCTTTTTTGATTTGATACGAAATAAAGAAGAAGAAATTACTTTTAATGGTATCTTAGAATGCGACTTTGAAAAAGATGAAAAAATTACATTATCATAAATTTATTGTTTAATTTTTGAAGAAATTAATAAAGTAAGAGTAATGAATAAAGAATAAACCATCAATCCAAATGAAGAAATTCAAAAATTAAGGCTCAAAAAAAATATTAAATGACTAATTTTTACAAACATACAGTAATTTATCAGAATCGAATTCTTTTTATTAATATATATTTTTAAGTTTTTTATATTTATTGAATAAATTTAATGGAAGCTCTAATTGATTGCATAACTAAATGTTAAGAATTTAAAGACTAGTTGGAAGATAATTTTACATATAATTTGATATCAATAAAGTAATTAGTTTTAAAAAATACTTAGATGGTTAAATAGATCTAAAACAATCACTTAAACATAAGACATTAATAATCCTAAAAAAATTCCTATTTTGAATTTAGATTTAGTGGATGATTATTATTCAAATATTATAGCGTATAACTTTTATTTAAAATTTAGATATGATGATCCATAATATAATTATTTTTTAAATGAAAAGTTAAAATTAAACATAGATTATTTATGTATATCCTAAGATTTATGGTAATCATTAGTGGTTGCTCTTCAAAACTTATAATAAAATCCATTAGAATATTATACATTTAAGACTTTATTTAAAGATGGAACTTTTATAAATTAAAATCTTAAAATTCAATTAATTCCTTTATATGAAGGAGTTACTAATATAATTGAAGGTTTCTAATGTTTCTCAAGAGATTGGACTATATAACATACAATTTAAATATTTGAAAAACTGTTAAATTAGCAATTAACAATTTAAGTTCCTCAAAACAATTTTATTAAATTTTATATGTTCAAGAATGAACCATAAGATTTTAGATAATTTATTAAATTGTTTCATGAAAATTAATTATTATTTGAAGAATTTAAATAAGACATTCAATATTTAAAAAATGGATAATTATTAATCATAGATATTCAAGCATTAAATAAAAAATTTTCAATTAAATAAGACAATAATATATTGGAATAGAGAATTCATATTCATCTAGAAGAGACTGAAATTTCCAACAAAGGATTTTCAGTATATGAGTCATAGGAATCTTTACTTAGTTGTTTATTTAAAAACTATGAATGTTCTGATAAGATAAGGAACTTTATTAATACTAATTCTAAAGATCATTTTAATTTAAATGAAATAATTGAAGAATCATATTATGGAAGTTAAGCTATTTTATGTTATGAATCAAAAGACTTTGAATTATTAAAGGAGCACTCTATTACAATCACTGAGAGTAGATATGAAACTATCTATGTTAATAGATAACCATAAAAAGTTCTATTTGATCATAATATGACGGTTAAGCAATTAGCTGAGAAGTATTTACCATAAAGTGAATATTTATTTGAATGTAGTAATAATTATTACACAGAAATAAGTATAATATTATATAATTATAGTAAATCCCGATATGCTTTTATGTCAACTTCCAAAAAATTACATATATAATTTAACTAAACGTCAGTAGTATGAAGAAGAATTAGAAATAACTATTAATAGATGTTTTATTGAAAATGTAGGAATATTAAAATCATATAAAAATTTTGATGTGATTAGAAAATTATACATCAATAAATAAGCTAAATTTTTTGATTTACATTTAGAAATAGCAAATCTTTATGAGGAAACAAATTTAGTTGCTTATAAAGAAACAATTTTTAATAAGAAATATGAGTTGATTTTTTAGACTAATTAATAAGGAAATGAGAAATGTTCATATTGTGATCTTAAATTATGTAATAATTGTATTGTTAAATTTATTGATTAAAAATTGAACCTAAAAATTAATAAAGTTGTAGTATATGCAATATACGGTTAACCAATTTAAACAGAAAGGGAAAAACCTATTATTATTAAGAATTACAATTTAGAAGACTATTTTAATTTTTATAAGAGTGAAGAAGAATTCTTAATTTTAGATATAAATTAAGATCAAATTAATTAACAAGTGTTGTCTTATCCATAATAAATACATGCATATTAATTATGTGGTTTAATAGAAAAGATTGATCGTTCAAATTATCAAACATATTGTAAGCTAAAGGAGAAATGGGTTTTATTTAATAAAGAAGGATATAAATAAGTAGAGGGAATTATGTAGAATTTAAAAGTAGCTAAATTATTCTATGAGAAAATAAATTGACATATTTAATTTATGTATTTTTAAGTATTTGAATAAGAATAATAATAAATCTTAAATTAATAGTTAAATATTAAATTAAATTAAGAAAAATAAAAAATAATTATTAATCATCCTAAATAATTAATTAAGTAAATTAAAATTAATTTTATTTCAATGATGAAAAACATGAATTGCAGAATGAGATATACATTCTTCTTTGAATTTAGCATCAAATTCTTTTAATCTTGATAATTTCTATTCTAAAGTTGGATAATTTTTCATATTTTCTTCAATGTCATCAAAATCAACAGTATCAATTTATTTTAGTACTTCTATATGAGGTTGACTAGTTATTATTTTTTAAGGTTGAGATTTATTAGGTATTGCTTCTTGGAAAGAAGGTATATATTTAACTATATTTGAAGATTGAGAACCTAAAATTAATAGTATCAGTACCCATATAAGATTATTTTTTTGTATTTTATCTATGTTGATCATTTAAACCATTTGGGACGGCTAAAAAAGAACTTTATTATATATTTTCTTATAGTTTTTCTGGTATTTTATCTGTCCATTCGAATTAATTATCATAAGTATTTGTATCTGAACATTGTCTCATAATTCTCTTTAATAATTCATAATCAGGTTAGTCTTAATATTTAAGACCTTTTAAATAACTAGTTAAGATGAACAATTTACTTCAGATATTCCGAAAAAGGAGATGGTAAATCTTTACAAAGTTATTAGATTGATGTTTACATTTTCACTTCTCCAACAACAATTGTTCTGTCTTTATCTCCAATAATCTATAAATTTTACCATGGTAATTTGCTAATTAAATTAGATGTTTTTACCCCAATATAAGATATATAATAACATACATAAGAGATTCTAAGTCATCTTTTCTACCTATTTCATATCCTTTATGAGCTGCAATTGAAGCATATCGAGTTGTTCCAATAAATGACTTTTTATCTCGAAAAGGTCTAATTTTGAATTTATTATAATATGTACATATGTTTTCCTTAATCAAATATCTATTTAGAAACTCCAAAGTCAACTAAATATGCTTATGCTGAATTAATTTTACCCATCATTATATTTTCAGGTTTTAAATCTCTATGAACAATTCCTTTGTTATGTACATTATTAAATATTGTTAAAAGCTATTCTAATAATTGTAATCCTGTTTTCAATGATAATTGATTGTAATTTTTTACATAATAACTTAAGTCTTTACCTAGTATTTCAATAACCATAACATTGTAATTTTATTCATTTCCAAACCAGTAAAGTTTAGTAATTCCTTAGATGCCTTACAATTTAGTTAACAAGTAAACTTCTCTATCTAATGTTTCTTAATCTCCTTTTTCCAATTTAACAGCCACCTCTTCACGTGTTACTTTATGAATGGCCTAATAAACAACTCCAAAAGATCCAGAACTCAATTTTTATTTGATAATGTATTTGTTATCAAATATTTTAGGCTCCTAATAACTACTAGGTAATTTTTTCATTAATAATTTTATGCATTCTGGATCATTTATAGCAAACACTCCAATTACTGAGTTAGATGACTTTCGTAAAGAAGTACGTGGCAAAATTAACAGTAAATTTGATTAACCTAAACAAATACTTTACTAAGCCAAAAAATCAAATCTGGGATAACTCTAATAAATCTTGAGATAAAGTATATCTCCTAAATCACCAAAAAATAATGCACTTCATTAATCTTAGAATCCATCTCCTCAAATACGTAAATCCCCAGGTAGATTATCATTTCAAAGATCAAGTCTTGATTTGAGTAAACCTACTTAAAAGTAATATATAATTACTATGCAGTATTTTATATCCCAAAAAACAATTGCAAGATATATTGCCATTGAATAAGATCATAGAATTATAGAGAGCCATAAAAAATTACAATCATCCTACTAATAGTAGGTAAATACTTTAATTTTATATTAGTTATTTCCTTGAACTCAAAAAACTTGCTAAAGTGGTCTTACGAGAAACTCAAGGATGATAATATTTATACAAAAACCCTTCTTTTTATGTTTTTCATAATTTTATTAATTTTAACAGTAAAATGAATACTCAACAAATTTAATATCTCCATAAACCACCCACTAGTCCACAATAATTTACATCAAGAATGTATAATTATCATTTTAACAATGAAATAGGACTATTATAGATTAGATTTCTCCTATCCGAGATATTGTATAACCTAAAACGACTCGTGCTAATCAAAATACAGCAAGAAATAGTACTAAAGGTATTCCCTAATTGATTACAACAAAAACATAGCCTTCAGTCACAAGGGAATCTTGTTAAATTACAAGAGAATCTATTCATATCAAATAACCATCTTAAATGCCTATTGATAATATTTCTAAAGCCATATACTAATTAAGTTAAATTAGATAAAAATATGATAAATCACTTGAATCATAAATTGATGCAATTATAATCATGCTCAAGACTACAACTCTTGATAAGGAAAACTGCAATCCCAATTAAGAGTTAAGATAATAAATTATTTCCCTTTAATCAAGCAATGAAAAATTACAAAATGAACTTTTACATAAAAAATACGATAAAAAAACAATCCAACATTTAGAATAAATTATTGCCAATCTTGAATCTTAAACTTAATCTATTATTAATTAAAGAGACATTCTTAAATCAGAAAATGAAAAACTATAACTCAAATTATTAAATAGAGAATAAAATTTCTTATAGTTGTAACAGGAAGTATAATAATAAAGAAACTCATGTTAACCTTATGAATTACTTTATAATTAATAAAAATAAAAAATCTAAGAGTTGGAGGAATTGATATAATCATTTAAAGAAATTAATAGTTCAGAAAATGTAGTTAAATAATAAGATTATTATGATCTCAAATGGAAATTTGAATAATCAAGTATTCTTATATTTTTTATTAGTTATTGCTTATTAAAGAAAGGATAAGGATTTATAATCTAAAGTTGAAGAACTAAAAAGATTAAAAAATTAAGTTGAATAATTATTAAAAAGAAATTAAAGTCTTGAAATTAAGTTACTTGAAATCATGGAAACAGAAGTTAAATAAAGAATAATATTATGAAATTTTAATATCTTAAAATAACACTCCAAATATAAATTATCATTCTTATTATTATTATTCTAAAGATATTGATTCTTGTTCTATTTATTCTTCTTAATTTAAATTCGAATCAATCATTTACTCCTATTATTATTAATCTACTTTATTTTCTTATTAAGATTATTTATCTTCCTACAAATCATCCTATTGAGATAATCTTTCATTTTATGATTATTCTTAAATAACATGTAATTTTTAATTAGATGATTCTAATGTTTATTTTTATTTCTACTCTGACTACATAAAAGTTATTATTGTGTTTTTCTTTGATTAACCATTTTTCTCCTTAAGTTAAGTAGCTTAATCATTTACTTTAACTTCTTCTGCCAATTAATCTGTTTAAATTTTATTAGTATCTACATATTTTGGATTTTGTAATAAGATTCTTTTAATCAATTAAGTTCTTTCAATATTGTCTTTACCAGGTGCTATAAACTTTATATCTGAATGTTTCTCATATCCTAAAATACAAATCTCTAAAAAATCCATAAAAAGCATTGGAGCAACTACTTTGAATTAATCATATTGATAAAAATCTGAATTTGGTTATATACCATCAGACCTAGATTTCCATTTAATTTCAAATAAGCAATCTTCTTAAGTTAAAACTAAATGAACACTATCAATTTCATCACCAATTTAAGGATAAGCATTACAATATTTTTATGTCATCTCCTTCTATTTATTAAATAGAAGTTCTTCTGAACAATTAGGATGCTTAAAATTCTATTATAAATGTCTTTAAGGTATTCCTTATTTTAATTATATTTCATTTTAATTTGTATGTAATTCTTATTCATTAACTTGTAAATTTTAAATTAAATTTTTGATGTTTTCTTCAAATTCCCAAGTTGGTTCTTCATGGTCCTTCCATTTTACTAAATATTATAATTAATTATTATTTTTTCTCTTTTGTAATATCTTTTCTGGAGATCTTTGATTTATTTATTTTAAATCCTTTTTTACACTTGACTTCATTTGTTGTTTTAATAATATTTAATATGCAAAGAATATGAAATTTGAATTCAATATGTCCCAAAAATTTGCATCCTATTATAAATAATCAATATAAATTTATATTATGAATATAACAAAATAAAAACTAGAATCTTTATTTGATCTCTCAATCATCATAGAGAAAATTAAAATTTTGGATGAATAACAATCTAATATGTTTCATTTAACTAAAAGACCTAATTATTAATTGTAAAAGTAATCAAATACAGAATTTATTCCTCACATTATTAATGATTTCGAAATTAAAAGGAAGTTTAAAGAAATCTAAAATGACTCTTTTCTATCCTGGAAACCAAACATAATTAGAACCAATTAAAAAATATCTTAAAAGCGTCCTTCATAAATTTAAAAAGTCAGTCCATCACCAAAACCTCTAGACTTGTCGGTTGAGAAGAAAATCCATTCAACTACATTTATGATAAAGTAAAATAATAAAATAAGGACTAAAAGTACAGATTAAAGAATCAAACTCAGGAAAATAGTATAGAATGATAAATTTATTAGGAAACAAAAGATATCGAGGCTCAATTTCTCGAAACCAGAAATTTAATAAATAGATTCAATAGAATCAAAAGAAAAGCAGTAAGATTTAATATTTTAACTTGATTTTATCAGAATAACTACTTCATTCTAATATTTCCTCGAAAATGTTTTACAGTTATTTTTTATTATATAATTACTATTATTTAAATAACCATTTCTCACACAAAAGATAGATCCATTTAGTATGCATATACCATATTTTCTTTATACTTTAAGTTAGCTATTTTCTTCTATTTATATTAAAATTTCTATTTTTTTAATAATATTAGGGTTAAATATTATCTAAATTGATAATAAAAAATTTGCTTTTATAGAATTCTATTTTAATCTAGAGTTCATCGATAAAATAGATTCTACCTTTATTCTACAAGTTAATTTTGGTTTTTTTATTGAAATAAATAATTTATCATAATGAATCTAAGTTTATTATCATATTTATTCCAAATTTTGCAATGTAAATACAGCTTAGAAATTATTAATTTAGTGGGAGTATATTTGACTACAAAATACCTCAATTTAAGATTCGAAAATCGAATAAAACATCAAAAAAGCTAAAAACATCTCCATTAAAAAATAATTATGAAAGGTCTGTTGAATCTTCAATGAATAAATCAAATGATGAAAAAATGAAAATAATAAACTTAAGCTTGGAAGTTAAAAATTAAACTTATAATTATAAAAAGCCTATTTTATATAGTTGTAATATAAATGAGGATACCTCTGTAAATTACTAAAAGCCTATTAAAATAACTAATAGATTAATTCCTTAATAACCTAAAGACTAAGAAAAAATGTTATTGCTTGATCGCATATTGATCGGTTAATAATTTAGAAGGTTTTCTGAGAAATTAAATGATTCACATAGAAGCAAAGTCAATACTTTATTAAAATAATAATAATCAAAGCCAATTTCATAAGACTTAGAAATTGATCCTAAGGGTTGGACTAATAAAAGCTCTCAAAGTCTCTTATGAATATATAAATATATATTTAAAAAATAATCTTAATAGTTCAGACTATTTATTAACTTATAATTTATTTTATTTGAATAATCAGTACTTATCATAAACTTGAATTCTAAAATTAAAAATTATTAAATAATATAGTTTAAGTTTTATTAAAAAAGAATTTTATTGAATAGAATTAGTATCATAAATGATTTAGTTATGAATGAATTTAATAGGTATTTATATAAATTTTACTATTTGATATAAACATTTTGATTCAATTAATTAATCAAAATAAGCCTAATCTTTTATTAATTCTCTAAGCCTTTTTTGTTGGCAATTAATTTCGGTTCTAAATAATTTGCAAACTTATACTTTAATCCATGGATGCTCTAAAGCTGATTATAAAGAAATTCTTTCTTCAGGTTCTTTTATTAATAATTTTTTTATTAAATCTTTTGCATCTTCTGAAATCTATTACCAAAACTCTTCTTGGAGATCATATTTGCATTCAATTATATTTTTAATAATATCTTCTGGAAATTCAGAATCAAAAGGTAAATAACCTAATTTAATTGAATATTTGAAATACCAGAAAGTAAAAAGTATAAGATAACTCCCAAAGCAAAATTGTCAACTTTAAAATCTATTTTTTTTTATTCCAAACTTTCAGGTGCTAAATAATTTGTTGTTCCACAAAGAGCTTCTCCTTCCTTTGTTTAGATATTTGTCAAAAAGTTGGCAAAACCAAAATCAATAATTTTGACTTATTTAACATTTTTTTTTGTCACATCTAATACAATCATAATATTTTCTGGTTTTAAATCTCTATGAACAATGCCAACGCTGTGAACATAATTTAGAGTATCAAAAAGTTAACTCATAATTAAGGATGCCTCTTGCTCATTAATATTTTCATTTTTAATAATGTAATCAAATAAATCTCCATCTCTTACAACTTCTGTTATGATATTTAAATGAGTTTTTGTTTCTATAATTTCATGAAAACGGACAATACAAGAATGATTAAGCAATTTCATGATTTCTACCTCATGACTACAACTAAATACTAAAATTACGCAAGCATTAATTTTTCAGATTTTGATAATTTAAACTTTTCAATAATTTTTATAGCTAATATTTGTCTATCCTTTTTGCATTCACAAAGATAAACAATTGAAAATTTGCCTTCTCCAATCTTTTATAGAATTGAATAATAATCATTTACAGATGCTCTAAAAAATATATTATTTAAATACTTTTGAAACATTTATAAACTATTTGTCCATCTTTTATAATCTTCAAAATCTTAACACATATATGTTCTGGTTTAATATAATTTATCTTTATGAGAAACTTCAAATCCATATTATTATTCTTAGTTGTTTACTTTTTCTTATATTGTTAATCCATCAAGACAAAAGATCTCTAAAAATTAATTAATGTATTTTACTTGAAGGTAAAGTGGATTCCTTTTTCTTAAAAGATAAGCAAAATCTCTGCATTAATTTAAAATATCTAGGATTAGTAATTTTAGGATTTTTCTTGCTTATTTTTTTGAGTTCTCCTTCAAGATCTTTTGGTGACATCATAAAACGAGGAACTGAAGAATTAGCATCAAAGCCCCATACATCAAAGTTAAATGCTTTGTAAAGACCTTCAAATATTTTTGGATGCAACTTAACAAAAGATTTGAAATCCTCAAGTGATAAACTAAATTATAACATATAAATACTCCTAATCATTTTTGCCTTTATTCTTATAAATCATATTCACATATTTATGAACTAAATAATTAATATTGACTCTTTTTAATTCAACTAATTTTCCATTAATATTAAAAGTGATATTTTAACCAAATTGTCCCATGGGAACTCCTGTAGGTCCAATCATGCTCTCATTTGGAAACATCATTACAACACTTTATTCATTGAATACAGGCAAATTACTTTAAGATCCATGTCCAGATTCACCTGATTTTGCCCCTTAAATTGATTATATTTCTCCACTTAAAGAACTTCTTCTTTAAATTGCATGTACTATTTTCATGATAATTTTATTACCTGATTCTGTAAACTCTTATTCATCTGCTCGTTTTGGTTAATTTTTTTTTTGATTAATCATCTCCTTTGTCTCATAATATTTAAGAATTTTTAAATCCTCTAAGAACTTTGGGTCATCAAGTAATTTAATCAAATCCTCTCTTGGATAGTTTTATATCTAATTTTATAATTGTTATTTTACCATCTGCAAAAATTCAGATTTTCGAATAACACCTTATTTATCTAGATCATATAATTTAAAAAGATGTTAAATTTTTTAGTCTTCATCACATTTTATATAATGTACAACTCCTTTTAGAAATTGCTCAAAATTCAATAGACTATGGTTTTCTTGGTTAAAATAATCAAAAACAAGTTCACCCCACAACCCAATCATTGTGAAGAAATCTGTAAACGCTGTCTTGTTGACTAAGTTTTCTACATTTCGTGATGCTAAGTCTTAATATATTAAATAAAGTAAATCAATTTCAATATCATTAACTAACATACGTAAATATTGTACATTGCTATTCTAATGTTTTCGGTAAAACATAAGGTTTTTTGTTTCTTTTTTATGGCTTACCTCCGCACCCACCCATGGAATAATAATTACTTAATTTTTTATATTACAATTATGATATTTCATTAAAACAAAGATACAAATAGAATATATAGGAAATAAATATTTTATATATCCAATTAAAATGAATTGAATTCAATATCATAGAATTTTTGATACTGAATATTTATATCATTTCTGAAATTATATCAGGTAACATAAATTCTTAAACGATGATCAAATAATATAAAGTAACACATTCTAAATCTATTGATGTTATTAGAGTATAATTTCCTTGAAGAATTACTTCTCAAATAAACAAATGGATTGAATTCATAGCAAATCGAAATTTATAATAAATTAACAATAATTCACAATAATATGATAAAGTAAATAACAGTTTCAAATTATAATTAAATCTAAGTTAGATTAAGGTTTAGTTATTCTGAATCTATTCATATATATGATCATAAAAATTAAATAAGAACTTAAGAAATAATTGTAAAAAATGATATTGTATGTTAATTCATAAACAGACTTTCTTTTTTTGAATTTCGATTTTTGTTTCATAAAATTCCTATAGATTTTATTACTTTCCTTATTCAATTTATTCCTATCATTATAATTATTAAAATTACATCATTTTAACAACAAACTTCTGAGTCACTTTCATCAGATGAAATATCAAAATATTATTTCATTTACATCTAATCTGAAGTTGAAACTCTTGGAAATATTGAATACTTTTCTGAATAAATATTATTCAAATCATTTGTATTTATTTTAACCCAATTTTTATCAATTTAAGAACTAGCAACAACTTGAATAACATTATTTTATAATTGATTCAAATTATTACTAAAAAATCCTATATCAAGTTCACTATAATTTGTATATTTCATTCTTAACAATATTACTTATTAATTCTAATGTGAATTTAAACTATCAACTAAACATTATTAAATCTTAACAAGTAATTATTCCAAATTCATTAGAGTAGAATATTAATTAGAATTATAGTAAAGATCAAAGACTGATCTAAATTTTAATGCTAAAAAGTAGGGATGTCTACACTTATTCCTAATATTCTATGCCATCAAATAATTATTAAGTCCTTCAAGAGTATCCTCTATTTTTAATATTTTAGATTTATCAGATCTAACTATAAGTTATTTCTTAAGGGAGAATGGATGAAAAGGTTAGATGAGGGACATAATTTTCTAATAGTCAAATCTCTTAGTATTTCTGGCAGCTTTCCTTGAATCAACAAAAATTGGAGGAGAGATGACTGATTTAATAGTTAGTTCACTTTCAAAGATATCATCTCTTCTATAGATCTCAATAATGACATGAAAATGGACACCCTATAAATATGGATAAGTAAAAACCTCCAGTTTATATGAAGTTGAACTAAACTTTATATTTTCAAATTAAAAGCCTTAGATGTCATCATTATATAATTTTTCTATATTTCCTTCAAGTTCAACTTATCTAATTGTAGATACATCCTCAACATAGCCACAAATCAATCTACATCTGAGACCTTTTGTATATAATTTATAGCTATTTAGAATGGGTTTAACAGTGATTTCTGGAAGTTTCCAACTTTTGTGCCAATTCCATCCTATTCTTTTAGAGAAATTGAAAGATTTCTACATTTGTATATTGAATTATAGTTATTCTTCAACAACTGTACAATCTTACATAATTTTATAGTTGGTTTCAAGAAGACGATATGATTCTTATTAATTTGTTTGAGAGTGAAGAGTTACTTGGCATTCAATCCACTTCCAATTATTAAGTTTTTATTTAAGTTGTAGGAATCTATTTTTCATATCTAAAAATAATGTAATTAATTAATCATTTAAAATGCTTTTTTTTACTCCATACAGCAAATTCTTTTTTATGGTTCTTTTCAAAATGCTACACTAAGGTTTATTCTTTCAATATCTAACCATCAAATTTACATTTGAACTTATTACCTTAGAATATAAAAAGAATATATTACTATCAGTATCCTTAATGCTATCTTCTATAAACATAGGCATCATAAATAAATTTTCAGTTTATGTAAGATCATCATCACTATCTGATTAGAATTCATCATCATTATCATTCTTATCATCTTCATCATCATCATCTACATCTTTCCAATCATCATCTTCGTCAACTTCTTCTTCAGTTTCCCATTCATCTTCTTCTTCTTTTTTTTTTTCTGGCTTCTTTTATGGTTAAGCTTATTTGAAAACAAAAGAAGTTGGTATTTTAAATTTATGTTTGCCTCTTCCTGGTCTACCAATATTAGTAAACATCTTCATAAAAGCATCACCCATCATAAAGTTCATCATAGACTCAAAATCTTGAGCAAAAAAATCATCAAAATCAAAATTCATTTGGTCTTCACCATCTGCTGTTCCAAATTTGTCATAGTTTGCTCTTTTCTGATTATCACAAAGAACTATTAATATAAATTGAAAATCTAACCTGTATAAGCTTGTAAAATCAATTAAAACTATTTTTTGGCTGTCTCTTAATTATCAGGGTTCTTATCTGGATGCCATTTCTACATATATAACTATAATAATGTCTACCAAAGCTAACTTTCTGTAAGCACTCTTAATCTCCTCTGTTGTAGCATTTTTCTCAACTCCCAAGACTTGATAATAATCTTGTTTATCCATTAATTAAATAATTTCAATTAAATAAGTATTTAAGTGATATACATATGAATATAATATTATATTTAAATATATCACTCAACTATCTCCATTTCTTATCCAACTTCAGTAAGTTCTTGTTTCTCAAAATTAAATTCATATTTCCTCAAAGCAGCTAAACATCTAATAATCTATTTTACGTGTATTATTGATAGGGAATGGATATGGTATTTATTTCTAATGGGATTTGGCATTATATTATCTGATATTTCTTCTATAATCAACACCTTCTTTTGTAATTGCAACTACATCAACATTGCTACCTGATCTAAAATATTATAATCATAAATTACCCCATATCATGGAAAATACCAGCCTCAATTGCTTCGATAGCAAGATCAATAGCTTATTATTTTGTAAGACCATCTTAAAATTTGGCTTCAAGAATTCCTAGAGCTGCAAGAGATCCACTACCCATTGATTAAAATGGATGATAAACATAACTAATAAATTAATAATAATCATTTACTTTCCATGAGGAGAGACAGAGGCCAATTGTGGTCCATTACAATCCACTCCGCCAATAATAAGAGCAACACCAATTTGACCTCTATAAGGAAAGAGTTTTGATGTTAATTTAGTAATCACTTCATTGACTCTACTTTATCTATTTAGATTGAGTCTCTAAAGTTTAAGTTTAGCATTAAAATGAGCACATTAATGATGTAAATCTGCAGCAGTACCTGCTCCTGCAGCCCAGATATTTGGAGCTAAGGTATGCAATTTCTCACAATTTTTATCTGCTACTATTGATCCAGCTGTTGCTCTTGTATCTGCTGCCATCACTACTCCCCCATCAAATAAGACACCAACTATTGTTGTTCCAGTTTTTGTAAATGGCATTTCTTTAAATCCTTAAGCTTTCATCAATTCATTTCTTAGATTTCAATTAATCAATTCTGTACCTCTTGGCATTTGTATAGTCATATCCACCTTTGGATTGCAAATAATTGTCAAAGTATTACATTTTTATATTATTTAAATTTAATTATCATTCAGATTGGGATAATAGATATTCAATTAAAAATATATTTGATTCTAATTACAAAGGTAAAAAGCTCTATTATCATTTTTGCGAACTGTTTTACTCAATGAAAGAGAAAATTTAATATAAAGCATAAAGTACACAATCCAAAATAATCTAAATTTTTCTGATTTTGAAGATTTGAGCCATTTCATCAAACATAACAGATCTTATCATCTATAGTATTTCAAGATGCCTGAATCAGCAGTACTATCTATTTTGGATGATTGGGTTCATTTACCTCCAAATATTTTAATTTAATGGAGAATCTTATTTTATATAGATCCTTCTATAAAAGAAGGAGAACTTAATTAAATGAAAGAGGCTGATCTAAAACTTGAGATATTCTAATCAAATAAAGATGATAAACATAATTATAATATTATATATAGCATTAGAATAAAATGAAGGAAACTGGATGACAAAGATATTTTGGAAAATCATTAAAATTTTACAAATTAAGAAGAATAACCTTTGAGCTATTAATTTTATTATTAGCATAAAAAAATAAGAAAGTCAAATGATTATATATACCATCTATTTTTGAAATGGAAATAAGAATTAATAAAATTTTATCCTATCCTTATGCTCCTTATAATGTTCAAGAAGAATTAGAAAAGTTATAGAAGATGCCTAAATCTAATCCAAAAATTAACCTGATGAATTGAAATCACAATGATTATGAAAGGAGAGGAGAATAAGAAAGAAGAGAGCTGACTTATAATAATAATTGGAATGATAATTTTATATTCTATTAATTTACAAATTTTATTCATAACTACTATTAGTTATTGTGTTTACTTAAAATCATAGTTTGTTTTAGATAAAAGAAGGGTCTTGAAATTAATAATTATATACATGAAAATTAATGTAAATTAACACTGAAATCTTATCCATCAATTATCTATAAAAAGAGACTGAAAATACACATATAATAACAAAAAAATATTGTAAATATTGAAGGATTTCATTTTATTATTATTATAATAGATTCCATATAAATTTAATTAATGATCATAGCAATACTCCTATTCACCACAGTTTTTGCATTTCCTAAATACAAGTAAAATCTATTTGTGGCCAAACCAGATTCCCTCAAAAAATTAGCATATTAATTGTCAATAGCTTCTGATTTGTCAGTTGACGTGGATCAAGATTAAGTATATAAATTTATTCTAATAAGGTTTGTACTTGGTTAAAAGAATACACTTTAACAACAACTCAAGATGCATATTATGCAAAACTTGCATCATCATTTTTGGAAGAATGTCAGGCAGACCTTAATATTGACTACCCAAAAATGGATTAAGATGATTTCGAATCAATCTACTATAATTCACTTTTAAATGGGTTATGTCCCAAATTGGAATAATTTATTACAGTAGGAGGTGCAGCAAAACCTTCGCTTAAAAAATAAGATGACTCTTATAAAACTGCAGCTCAAGTATATCACCTTGCCACCATTTGCAATGGCAAAAATGTTCATGAAGGAATCTAAGAAGCCCTCTTTAATTTCTAAGAAATATATGACGGAGTCACAGCAATTTTAGATAGAGATAATACAGCTGCAGTAACTGCGTAAATATTGTTCTCATTTTTTACTTTGAACATAACCAATATTCATCCAAAACTATAGGATATTCTCCGAAATTAGATCTATCAATAAACAATTATCAATTTTCTTTACTAAAGAACTTTAGTCTTGGGATCTATTGACGAATAATATTGGATTACTAAATTATTTTAATTGAATTAAGTTAATACAATCATATATCCCATTTTCTAAGACTATTACTAAATTAACAAGATGAAAACATAAATTAATGTGAAATTTGTCAACTTTAAAGGGGAAAAGGTTTAACCTACAGAAGTTTATGCTATAATCAATAATTAATAAGAACATTTAATCTATACACCAATTAAATCTAAAGATTTTAGTGGTTATTTTGAAATTTAATAAGCTGGTTTACTTCCTTTTGAATTGCATTTCTCTAATTATGTTGTAAGATTACCAATCTAAGATTTAAGCTAAAATACACAATCAAAGTATTCCAAGAAGTTGAGATTGAAGAAGTCATGTTTGATATTGTTGATTCCAAAACTTCAAAACCAAACTTCCATCATAGTGTTGAAAGCGGAGAGCTTTATCCTGTAATTCTTAAAGCAAATGAAAAGAGCTTCCTTCATATCATTATTAAAGTAATTATTTTATTTAAGTAGACTAAAAATTAAATTAAATCATAAGTTGCCATTAGATTAAATCATCCTTAATATCCTTCTGCTTCTACATAAGTGTTTGCTGAGTATGATACAAAAAGAAACATCTATTATGGTATTATTGATTTTGGGGACCCTGATCATATTACACCACTCAATGCAATCTATTAGGTGGAATTACTTCTAGCCGATTCAAACGTTATACCTAAAAGATGGAGTTTCCTAAAAATAGATACTAAATTTTAAGCTTAAACAACTTTCTAAAATGACAGCTACTACAAATTGCCCTAAGAAATTGTACATTAATTCAATCAAGAATAACCTGAAGTTCCATTCCTTGTAAATATCTTATTTTAATCTAGTTTGTTTCATTCTTTGTTGTTGTTATTGTAATTGCATTTCTATTTTTCCTCAAACTCCTTTCAAATTTGAACTTAAGCTTTGAAAGATTACCAAAAGATAATTCAACCATTGTTTATCTGTTTTTAACTCTTATTTTAGTTTTATTTTTTGTGTTAATACTATTTTGGATTAAATTAAATTTGATTGAAACAATCACAGTATTAGGAATCTTAAGCGTACCATTAGTTGTTGTTGGAAATTATGCACTTTTAGCATTAAGAAAATCAGAAAAATTAGATTGATCAATAATATTTATATGATGCAATGTGTATTTTAATTATTTTGTTATGTTATAGAAAATCAACTTTATTTTTTTTAATTATTAGGTTTTGGAGCTTCTAATGGATGGGAATTATATCTTATTTTTGGTTATTCATAATCTTAAACTTATTGGGCTTATTAAGGTATCTATTAAGATTATTATTATTATATTGGAATATTTTATTAGACTTATTGATTGTTTGAATTTTAAGGAGTAAATACTTTTTATAAAATAGATTATTATTATATTTAAGGTTAAATTGTTGCTTATTATTATTATTATTATTATTATTATTATTATTATTATTATTATTATTATTATTATTATTATTATTATTATTATTGTTATTGTTATTGTTATTGTTATTATTATTATTGCTATTGTTATTATTATTACTATTGTTATTATTAATTATTTTATTATGGGGATATTTGAGGCGATATTGTTTCTCGAGTAGGAGTATCTTATGAGAAGTAAACTTAATTTCCTCCAGTCTTTTGAACCGTTAAATTTGATGACAGAGGATTTTTCTTATCAAATATTACTACTTTTTTTTAGCCTAATGGTCCTTAAATTGTAGAATTAGCTTAAGGTTAGTAATACAAAGATTATAAAACTGATAATGAGTTTACTTTTGAATTTGGTTCAATTTTACCATCATTATCAGCAAATTTCAATAACTCTTAAGTTTATAATTCAAAAAGCTAAAAAACTCTTGCATACTTATTCAAAACATTCTTAATTTCTTATTTATCAATTCTATTTTTAATCAATTTTATTATTACTTAAAATTAATCATATTTAAAGTTAGACTTAATAAATTAGAATAAATGACATTTTTATCTTTAAATATTTATTCTTTTGTAAATTGTGCAGAATCCTTCATAGCAGATTTATCTATTTCAGCCTCTATTGTAGTATATATGACCCCTTCCCATAAATCAATTTATTTCCATATAGGCATAGATATTAAACTATCCTATAAGAAAAATCTCTTTTCTTTATCATCAATAGTATAGATTGTCGAAATCATAGTAATAATTCTTTTAACTAATATCAATTCTCCTTCCCTCTAAGAAATCTCCAATAATTTTTAAGTAAAAGTGATAATATTTCTGAATCCAAATTAGCTTATTTGAGAACATCTAAATAATTAAAAAAATTACCCTGCTTATCTAAATGATTCTAAAATAATACAACCAAGTTCTCTAAAAAACTTAGATTCTAATTATTCTTCTAAGACCTTATTTTCGATTGATGGTATATTTTTCCATCCTTTAATTTGTTATTCTTGAGTACTTTAAATAATATGCTTAATAAAGCTATATATCTTAATTAATTATGATTCTCCATATTAATCTTTATACCTATTAACCATAGCCTAAACTCCAGCTGGTTATTTATCTTCATTATTTTTAGATTTATTTTTATTATTAACTTTATTGATGAGGTTGATAGAAACTTCTTTTAAATCTTCAATAAATTGTTAATTTGCTAATATTAAATCAAATTCATCTGCAACTTCTAATTATTATAATGAAACAGTTTCTCTCTTAATATTCAAACGATGACTTAAGGATATTTAATCTGCAATGGTTTTTAAAAAAGAAGAATTTTGTTGAGAATCTACCTTAGGATAATTTTCTTTTGTCATTCCAATTTAGCTTGATGGTCCAGGTGCAAGAGGATCACTCTAAGGATCTAAATATTTCTCAGCTTCTTTAAAAAATTGTTCACTATCATATTATAGATTTCTTGTTTTGGAAATTTCATAGACTAAAATTTTCATTACGATATCCTAGATATATATTGTTAATAAATATTTACTTTTGCAATTGAAAAGATTTGATTATGTTAAGATATTAATTATTAGATTCCATTTTATAATAAAGTGTTATAAGATTAAACTAAATTATTATAGATAGTAGCAGCTTATCTAAGAGCTGATTCATTCTCTTATTTAAAAACTAATTATTGATTTAACCTAACTTAAGCTTTAGATCTAGACTCAGGATTACATTCTTTATTCCAACATTATGCTTCCAAAGTAATGGCAGCTTCTTCATAATCTTTAGAAGCTCTAAAAGTTTTATCCTTTTATCGATCATATTTATCCAAAGCAACTTTTATTTCCTTATCCATTTTCAAGACTTCTTGAATCAAAGGTTTAAATTGACATTAGATTTATTTAAGATTATTTATAGCTAGTTCAACATCATGTTTATAAGATTAATTAAATTGCTATTTTATCATAGATTTATTACTTTATAATATTGTGCTCTTTGATTTAAATCAATTTTAACTCCCTTTAATAAATCATCAATGTCACCTCCACTATTTTGCATTTACCCACTGATTTTTTCAAGAGCTTTGTGATACTTTTCTTCTGCTTCAGAGCGCTCAAATAATTATCCCAATAAGATTTCAGTCACTTTACTTCTATCACTAACTCTTCGATATAGAACATCGAAATTTGTAGCTAGTTATTTAATACTCATTTAATTTTAATTAATTCCATTAAATGAATTAAATGTATTAAGATAAAGCAATATTATTAACAGAACTACAATAATTGAAGTAGAGAAATCTAAAATTAGAATTTGAGCTAAAAGAACTATTCTAATCTTATAATACTATGAGATCTAAATCCTCAAGAGAAAACATTCATTAATTGGAAGAAGAATTAGATGATTTAAAGTAAATAAATTTTGAGTAGAAATATCTAGGATTTAACATTAAAATATGAAGGATAGTTTTGATTATAAATTAGAGTTATTGCGTATTCGTTTAGAAAAGGTTAATTAGGAGAATAACTAATTGAAATTAGAAAATTCATAATTAATTTAACAGTAAAATGATCAAATATAATAAACATAATCCATGATATAGATGGCAAAGTAGAACAAAACATTATAAAATTCATAAATTGATAATTTCAAGAATTAAGTTAATAAAATAAAAACTGTTGTTGAATAAAAAATAGTTAAGAAATCTAATAAAACATTAATGAATGTTAAAAAATGATCTTTTATATAATTAAAATTTTAATTGTCATCGTTAAAAAAAATGATTTAGTATATCTTGGTAATATTTGAATAAAGACATATATGGATTCTATCCTTCTTCATTAATAAACACAAGAACCTTAAAAGTTAACATTTTAAATAATCTATTTTTTTACATACAAATATAGGGAATCCATTTCTATCAATATTTTAGGAAATAAATATATAATATAAAATATAATATACAAAATATGATTCCAAAAAGAACAAAAATTGCAAGTTTATATGAAGGCAGTAACACAATATCTCTTGATGATATGGAAACACCTTAATTTAACAATACTAGAAGAAGAGTACTCACATAAATTGAAGAAGATTAACCTAAATTAGTTTTACCAAAGATTAAGTTAGGAAACAACCACAATAATCTTTAATTTATTAATAATAATGAGAAAAAGTTTAAATTAACTGGAGCTAAAGATGCCTTCTTTAGACCAAGATAAATAAATAAGTTACCCTAAATATTCTAAAAGTAAGCATTAAAAAAAAATGAAAATAATCTATCTCAACCTGAAATTAGAGAATTGTATTCCTACAATAATAATAAAGCTTCTGCCTATACTCTCAGTATTCATGATTGATGTTTTGTTATATTTAGTTCAAAACTAATTATTATAATAATTATTATTGGTTAATTAATGTATTATCAAGAGAATTATAGGAGAGCTCGTCAATTTCTCAACTAAAGATAAAAATTAATAGATTTTTAACCTTATAAATTAAATCAACCCTAAATAACTACAATACGTCAAATCTTAGAGGTAATACGATCAAAAGAAAGAAGCAATAGCTAATTTAAATATATAAAAACTACAGGGTAAGAAAAATAGGATGATTATCAAAAACCATAGATACTTATATCTTCAAATTTAGAACCAAAAGATCATAATCAATCTCTTACATCCAAACTATTAAGATTAAATAAAATAACTCGAAATACAACCTAAGTTACACCTATCTCATATAATTTTATAGATAGAATTATTGAACCTTTGAAAAAAAAAACAGAAATCTAATCTGAGTAAAATTCTCCTTCAAGGGTTCGAAAAATCATACCATGTATTGAGTATTAATTGCCTACTTAATTAATCTTTTAGGATAATCAGAAATAAGTTAACAATATAATTGAAAGAAAATTTTGTATTCAGAAATCTCGACCTAAAGAAATTATTAATCTATAGTAGCCTAAAAATAAGAGTATATAAAATTGCTTATCTCATCATTAAATTATTAATAAAGAAAAAGCAAGTCCAACATTAAGGAGACTAAATAAAACAAGTTATTAATGTGAATAAGTGAAATTTACTAATTCAATTTAAAATGAAAAAATTGAAAAATAAATATAATAAATTAGAAAAGTAAGTGGTTGGACTATCTAGAGCCAAGAAAGTGTTCAAACATTATTATGATTTATTTCTGTGTGTTACTAAATATATCTTCATTTTTTTAATTTGATATTTAAATAAACTTGTAGATGATTTCATCTTGAATTTGTAGAAACAAAGAAGATTATTAGAATTAATAAATTCATATTTTAATTTTTAAAGCACTATTTAAATTATCAAAGTTGAAACAATATTTCTTTACTTAAATAATAATAAAAGTGAGTTGCAAAACTTAATAAGTGGGTCTTTTAAACTTTGAAGGTTTTAAATTTTATTTTATAAATTCATAATCCTCAACTATTGAATCTTATTAAATTTTATATTATAGAGAATTATTAATTTATAAATCCAAAATATTGAAAAAATTATTTAAAAAAATTATTAACAGATTGCTTATATTAAAAAAATACTTCATTTTTTTTTAATCTTGAATAATATATAAATATTCGTATTTATATAGATAACTTATGGATAAAGCTTTTAAAAAGGGTCTTTATAATTAAAAATGGTGGTCAGGCTAGTTGAAAGAATTAATAAGAAAATTTAATATCAAATCTTTTTATGAATTTTGAAAAGCAATATTAAATTACATGAGTTCAAATTTTTTGTATAGAAAACTANTCTCTTACATCCAAACTATTAAGATTAAATAAAATAACTCGAAATACAACCTAAGTTACACCTATCTCATATAATTTTATAGATAGAATTATTGAACCTTTGAAAAAAAAAACAGAAATCTAATCTGAGTAAAATTCTCCTTCAAGGGTTCGAAAAATCATACCATGTATTGAGTATTAATTGCCTACTTAATTAATCTTTTAGGATAATCAGAAATAAGTTAACAATATAATTGAAAGAAAATTTTGTATTCAGAAATCTCGACCTAAAGAAATTATTAATCTATAGTAGCCTAAAAATAAGAGTATATAAAATTGCTTATCTCATCATTAAATTATTAATAAAGAAAAAGCAAGTCCAACATTAAGGAGACTAAATAAAACAAGTTATTAATGTGAATAAGTGAAATTTACTAATTCAATTTAAAATGAAAAAATTGAAAAATAAATATAATAAATTAGAAAAGTAAGTGGTTGGACTATCTAGAGCCAAGAAAGTGTTCAAACATTATTATGATTTATTTCTGTGTGTTACTAAATATATCTTCATTTTTTTAATTTGATATTTAAATAAACTTGTAGATGATTTCATCTTGAATTTGTAGAAACAAAGAAGATTATTAGAATTAATAAATTCATATTTTAATTTTTAAAGCACTATTTAAATTATCAAAGTTGAAACAATATTTCTTTACTTAAATAATAATAAAAGTGAGTTGCAAAACTTAATAAGTGGGTCTTTTAAACTTTGAAGGTTTTAAATTTTATTTTATAAATTCATAATCCTCAACTATTGAATCTTATTAAATTTTATATTATAGAGAATTATTAATTTATAAATCCAAAATATTGAAAAAATTATTTAAAAAAATTATTAACAGATTGCTTATATTAAAAAAATACTTCATTTTTTTTTAATCTTGAATAATATATAAATATTCGTATTTATATAGATAACTTATGGATAAAGCTTTTAAAAAGGGTCTTTATAATTAAAAATGGTGGTCAGGCTAGTTGAAAGAATTAATAAGAAAATTTAATATCAAATCTTTTTATGAATTTTGAAAAGCAATATTAAATTACATGAGTTCAAATTTTTTGTATAGAAAACTATTATATATAGAATTTCGTCTTAATATAAACCATATTAAATATTAAATGAGCTATAAATAATAAATTTAGTTGAATATATAAAATCACATACTAAATATTAAGGGAAAATGGGGATCCTCTTTTTATCTATCTTTAATAGCAGTGAGTGTTTTAATGAGATCAAAATTAATTTCATGTGTAATTATAGAATCTTAATTATAATTTGGATGTGAAGTTACAAAATCTCTCATCCAAGAAGCAAGTGTTTTTGTATTTCCATTAACTTTGTTTCTTACAAATTCTATAACTTCATCTTGAAGTTTTTTATTTTTTTAATAAATGTTTTCTTCCTTTTCTGCACATGACTATTTATTGATAACATTTCTATTTTAGTAAATTAATCCTATTATTCCAATAAAAGATCCATCTTATTTACCAAAAAATATTTCTTATAAAGTTAATTCTTCAATAGTAGCAGAACCATATTCTTAGAAGTTGGTTCTAAAATAGAATTTTTAATTTAAAATAGCTCCTTTTTCTTTTGATCTTCTCATATTTTCATCAACAAGTGATAAAGGCATATAAAAATTAACTGGAATATAGTTCTAAAGATAAATATAATAAATTACTGTAAAGAACAATCGAACAATCATAAGTATCATTATAGACCATGCAGCATTTTCTTCAGCAGTCAATTAAATTTCCATTGTTCTAAATTCTACTCTCCATCCAATTTTTGAATTATAAGAAGGAGGTGGTTTAAATCTGACAGAATTCCAATTACTAGATTAGATTGCTTCAAAATGAGCTGTATTATCATCAATATGTATTTTATCTTTAAACATAACCATATTATCTCTTAAAAATAGGATTCCTAAATGTCTAAGTAATTTATCATCTAAAGGTATTTCCATTTCATTTGCTTTTTATTTAGCAAATTTCATAATTTCTTCATTAGTTGGAAAATTAAGATCATTGTATTCTTCTAAATTCATTTTATCATTAGAAATGAAATATGAAATAGAAGAATATCTTGATTTTGGTATATAATTTGGATTTTAAGAATTTCTTTCATTTTCACTTCTACAATCAACTGACATTTCTAAACAATCCCATTTAGTATCCCAATTAGATATTTTTCCTTTATATATTGGACTACCTGCAGTTAAGGCTGCAAATAAAGGAGCCAAAACAGCTAATTAATCATACAATAATCTTGCATGATCTATATCAATACTCAAATAAGTAGTTTAGAGTGCACAATTTCCCATTCCAAAACCCATATGATCCATTGTTATATATCTAATAATAATAAAATAATAGAAATACCCTGGATTTGGTTCATATTCACTCTATTCTATTTTTGTATTTTAATCAATATACAATGGTATTTTGATTTCAACTTTTGATCCTCTTCTTAATCTAATATTCTAAGCTAAAGTTGAATATCTAGGATGAGGATTAATGATTCTATCATCAAAGTATATACTTTAAGAAAAGTAATTACAAATAGGTTCAACTGGTAATTCTTTATATGGTGTTGCTGGTTAAATCAATTTTTCATTTTGGAATTATTTTTCATCTTATTACAAAGTTGGAGTTCCTTCTATATAACTTGTTTGACTTCTGATCTTCTCAATCATAGAAGCTGTTAAATCACTCTCAACAGTTGTTGTAAATCTACCAACTCCCATCATTGGATAGACAGGGATAAGTAAATATTAATTTCCTTATGGTAAATAGCTTTAGAGTGTTTAAATTCTCTTTCTCATGTTTATTAAGACTTAATCAAAATTGAAGCACATGCATTAATATGGTTTATTTGGAGTTAATTCAATCATCCAAGCACCGAATTCTGGTAATATTACAAATGGTAAAACTTTTTATTGTTCTTCACCTAAACTTTAAAATAAGCCACCTATATTAATCTATATTATATTTACTTGTATTAGGGTTCAAAAGTGCTAATTTCTAATCATCATACAATTTAATAACATGACCTTCAAATTCATCACCCCAGAATAATTACATTTTAGTCTGTACTTATTTCACATTAGGATCTGAGAGATGTTCAAATTAATGTTCATGTAATTAGAATTTCCCAAAGATTTTTAACAAACTCAAAAATTACACTATTCCTTTTTCTTTAAGCATCTATTAAAATGCCAAAGATTCAAAGTAATCATAAGTTACTCCTTAATCGTTCAAATATCCCATTTAATAAGATTTTTTTTTATTTTAATGAATTTCTAAATTCTTAATATTTGTATATAAATTAACAATTCACTATTAAAATAACAATTTTTGAGGAATTTATTACATATTATCCCAATTATAATGAACTAATGTCTTATCAAATGTTGGAATACTAAATAAACTTTTCCCTGTATATTATTTCATTTCATTTTCATAATCTAATTTTTCTTCCATATTCCTAACTATTTATAATTACAAATATATTATTACATTCTTTTTTTCCTGTTTTTTATTATATTTAAATTAATTCTCCATCAATTTATTCTTTCATATTATATAATATTCTATGCAAATGAAATTCTTTTTGTGTTTAATCCAATTCATTAAACTATTATAAATGCTCTTTTATTATATTTATTGAATCATCCATATTAATTTTATCAATTTTTTCATTTTTCTAATATAATACAAATTATCCTCTTGGAAGAATAGCTAAATATATTTATTCTTTAACTAAATGCTTAAATATGTCAAATTAATCAAAATAATCTTCTGATCTCTCAAATACATATTTTTTTTATTCTTCATCTGTTAAATACTCTTATAATATATTTTTTAATTCTTCATCATTTATATCAATAGATCTCATTAACATTACATCTCCATTTTTAAATGATTATGATAAACTTATTCCAATTTATTTATTTTTATCAATTTGTTCTACTCCTAATCCTATTACTATAGCATATGTGCTATTTTGTTAATGGAATTATTCTTAGAAATAATATAATTTGAATTATTTTTAATTTTTTTATTTCATTATTAATTTAAATTAATATTTAATGTTTATATTACATTAATCTATATATATTTTAAATTAACTCAATAAATATATTGTTCAACATCTATTTAATCATATTTTATTAAATTTTATATAATCTACAAAGATAGATCCCAATTACCTTATTCACAATAAACAATTCTTGAAACTTCCTAAAAATAAATATCTAAATCATACAGCTTACAAAAGAGCTTTACAACACCAAACACATGGAAACAAAGTTGTATACAATGTAGTATTTCTAGTTTGTGTGATACCTAATTCTAAGATGCATCCTTCTTCTGCATGAATGCACATACATTTATATAAAATTAAATCTAAAGTTTTTGATTCTTTACAAACATCACAACCTCCTTCATTACAATTTTTCATCACTTTTGGAGTTCCATTATAAGAGGTACTTAAAATTCTTTTATTATTGTTAACTAATACTGCTCCAACACTTTTTTTCATACAATTACTTCTCTATTTAACTGTGTATGCAATCTATAATATAATATTATATAATATAACTTTCATGAAATATACATCCCAATCAGGTCGAAATGGTCTAATAATTTTAGTCTTTTATTGTTTCAAGTAATTGGTGAATTCCTCAATAGTATTTGTATTATTTTTTAGATATACCTTACAATTCTTTGCCAACTCTAAGAAATCTAAATCATATTTTTGCTGAGATATGTAAAAACTTTAATACTTTATCATCAAGTTTTACAAAATCTTCAAATTTAATTTACCCATGTTTTTCACAATATCTTCTATATCTTATTACTGAAGGTGCATCCAAAAATATTAAATGAAAATAATTTCTTTTCTTTAACACTCGTATTTATTCTTTTGTAGTGATTGCTGTTATTATTGTGGGTGTATTCCAATTATTATAAATATTCATTGCAGTTTTATTCAAATCCATCTCCTGATCAAATTAAACTATCTAATAGTCATACAATTCTTTCATTAATTAACAAAATAACATTTTTCCTGAACAAATACCACCCAATACTCCTATTATGGACATCTAATAAATAATTAATTATTGAACAATAATATAATTAATCAAATTTTTAATAATATTTTACTGTTGTTCTTATACAATAATTATATATATAAAGTAATTCTAAAAATAAAATAATATACCTTATTAATAGATTTTTACAATTTAAATAACAATAACAATTCTAAATAGAGATATAAACTCTATTCTCTGAATTATTTATTAATAAAAGTTTATTATTATTTTATCTGTTAAATGAATTTAGATCTGTCATAACAATTGCAAAATTACAGATAAGAGATTCACAATAAGTTCAAATCAAAATAAATTATGGCTTAAACTATCTTTAAATTAGTATTAAACTTTTTGATTTTGTTAAATAGGCTTCTTAATAAAACAAAAAGGACAATGTCAATTTAGCTACTTTGAAATAAGACTTGAGTAGATAAAAAACTAAATAGAGAACTTCAGTTTCAAGTATTTTTCAAAACTATTTAGTTTAGATTTTTAAGGGAGTCCTTTGAAAAATGTTGTAAGACAAAATTAATCACCAAATGTTTAAATGAGAAATGAGTTTAATTCATCTAAGTTTATAATTCCCATAAGATCAATGTCACAATTTAAACAATCACCTTAGTAATCGAAGTTTCAAATTCCAACCCCAAGAGATGTTAAATAAAATTAAAGTGCTGTTAAATTATATTCATCAAAATATTAAAAAGTATTACCTAGTGAATAAGGCAATTATTATGGTTAATTGTAAGCCAAATTAGATGGTTTAGCATTATTGATAGGATCTGAAGAGGATTATCATTAAAATGCCAAAGATGTAGAAAATGTAATTGAAGAAACAATTAGTAATTATTAAAGCTCAAATAAATAAAATAAGTTTGACAAACTAAAAAGTTAATAATAATTGCTAGAATAAGATTTGAAGCAATTAACTTTTAAAATATCTAGATTTAATGTGTATAAAGATTGATCAAATTTGTGAAACGTTATTACTTTTTTATATTTAATTATAATTTAATAACTTAGAAATTATTAAATATTATTTTAGATACTATATTATATAATTTTGTTATAGGTTGTATAAATAATTTTTATAAGATACATTTTATTTATACAAACTTTGAAATACAATTTATATATAATTTAGATTGTATTAAAATATTGATTAATTAAGATCCAACATTAATGATATAATTTAATTATTGACAACTTTGTTTTTGAATCAAGATAAAAGAAATAAATTTTTATTTATAATTATTTATATCAAACATGTCTGAATCTAATGTTAAAGGAAGAGTCTAAGCTATATTTGAAAAATTAGATAATATCTCAACTAGTGTTCAAGATGAGTAATTATTTTTACCATATCTATTTATCTAGGAAGAACAGTAGATTTCATAATATCTCATAACTCATTATGGCTTTTGAAGCCTAATTACAACATAATTCTGAATAAAAAGAAGAAAAATTCAATTATCTTGCATAGAGAATGAGATAACTAGGTGAATATTTAGAATAGGAATAAGAGGAGTATTATATTATAATTATCAATCATAGTCGTTTAAGATAAGAAGCTGAAACCTAAAAGTTACTAACTGATTTGGAACGACATGCTAGAAAATAAATAGAATAGAACTCAAATTAAAGAGTAGAATAAGAAAGAAAAATCGTTTATTAGATTGGTTAGTAGATGGATAATTTACAAGGTGAAGTAGTTAAAGAAGGACTTGTAAGAATTTATAACATTATTTTAGGCTTAATCTGAATCATATTAATTCGTTGATGCATATATGAATGAAGATCTTCCAAAATTAGCAGATGAATTATAAAATGAAATTGGAGAGAGAAAAGATGTAGAGGGGAAAATCTAAATACAATTCTTACAATAATTAACAGATTTAAAAGAGGCTTTTGATAAGTAACCTAAAGATTAAATTATTATAGAGAGAAAAAGGAAAGAGAAGCTAAAGAAGAGGAAATTGTTGAAAGTTTAAGAGAAATATCAGGTAGAATAAGTGAAGCTTTGAAAAAGACAAGAACGGAAAGAGAAAAAACTGAAGAGACTCTTGTATAATTGGTTGAGAAAGTTGTTGAAAAGATCAAACGGGAAATGTTAGAAATGAATTTATGATAATCATTTCTCATTAAAAATTAATAAATAAATTTTATTGAAAAAATTGGATTTAAATGAGAACATAAAGTCCCTTATTTTCTCCTAGCAGTGGTTCTAAGACTGCCAATTTTTTAACTCCTTCTAGAATTAAGCATTCTTCTCAACATTCCACTATTGAAACTCCAAATACATCTCTTTAAAGAAACATAATTAATTTAAAATCTGGAATTTCTCATCATTCTCCATAACCATTTGATACATCTAGATATTAAATTATATCAAATTACTTTAACTAAAAAATCATAACTAATAATCATAATAGAAATGAGAGTCCGTTAAAAATACTTCTCAAAACTGGATATGATTATTAAGAGGAAATAAAATAGTTAAGAAGAGAAAATTAAGATTTGCATTTATTAGTGAAAAAATAAAGAGAGTAACTATAAGAAGTTTAAATGGATTCTTAATTAGTTGAAGAAAATTAAATGTTGAAAGATATTATTCTAAAATTACAAAAAGAAAATGATGAATACAAAAGAAAATTAAATAGGTGAAATATTTCTATATTTAATATATTTATAATAATATGATAAATGTTGTTTTTGTTGTTAAGAAATTTTATACTTTTCTTAATATTTTTATTAATTTAAATTGGGTTTAGAATAAGATTCAATCTAATCATAAAATTAGTTTTAAGTATAATATGTCTAAAAACTTTAAAAAAAGAAGTTAATATATGTGTTAGGAAAAATGATGTTTATTTATATCATATTCAAATAGAATTTAATTATTTTTGCAAAATTTCAATTGTTAAATTAAAAGAGTTTTAGATTCTTTCCATTTTTACTTTTTAAATTGAAAAATATGATTAACTTATTTTTACAAATTATTTATACTAATTTCTATAAGCTAATCTATAAAGAAATAAACAATAATTAAACATCTAGTGTTATTTTCCTCAAGATTTTTATAGAAAAATAAATAAATAAAATAATGGGATAAAAAAATTAGAAAGCAACACCTGTTCAAACAAGAGAACCAATCGAAATAAAGGTAGATTTAAAAAGAATATGGAGACTACTAGATACTGAATTTAAAATAAATTAGGTAGAAAAAGATAAGTATATTTCTAAGGCAAAACAAGCTTTAAAATACAATGATGATTAAGTAGCTAAACAATTTTTGTAAATAGCTTTGAATAAGATAAAGGTAAGTTTAAATTTCTTAAGAATGGCAAATAGGGTTTTATTTTTAGAATAAGAAGTTAAAAGTACACAAGCAAATGCTGATGTATTAATGAAATTTATAAGAATTTAGTTAATGTATTAATTGAATGTTGTTACACCAATTCTGTTATAATATGTGAATAATCATAATAAAATATAAATCAAATTGACAGAACTTTAGATGATATAATGGTATAAGGTAAAGTAATGGATCCTATGATGAGTAAATATGAAGATAATTTTTAAACAAACATGACAGTAGATTATATGATATAATAATTAAAAAAAGAGGAAGCTTAACAATTACAAGAACTATAACCTTCAAATATATAATATAAATATATATAGGTATGACATTTCAACAAATATATAAAATTATAAAATTTCTCAAACTTAACCTTATAGATCAACTAAAATAACAGTGATATCATCATGCAACTTTCTTCTTTTGCCTAATGGTATCTTTTTAATTTCTTCATCAGACATTTTATTGGATTTGGCTGCATGAGAAAGGGATTCTTCAAAAATATGTTTAATAATCTCATCTTTATTATTTTAATTCTTTTAAACAATCTATCAATAGTTTGAAAAATTATACTTTAGAGATTTATTATTTTGTTAATTCATCCCATAATCCATCAGAACCTATAACTAGATATCTATCTCCTTTTTGAATTTCGAATACCTATTAATCTGGTGTAGACTAGAAATAATTAAATTAAATACACTAATATAAGGTCCTTTAAAATTCGAGATAGATTTCAAATATCCTTTATCTTCAGATATATTTTTAGGATTATTGAACTCTTAGAATTTCAATCTGAAATCCCCTAATGATCTAGTTGGTTACAATCTTCCTTTAACATAACAACTCTTGTCTCCACTTTTGCATACAACAATATCATCATCTGAGAATACAGATTTTAATCTTCTTTATTCTTTCTTTGAGTTTGCATTTAATGTATGATTAATTTTCTTATATGCTTTTTCGTTCGCTAATAAAAATTAATAATAAATTTACCTTTATTATTAACATTAACAATAATTCCTTTGCTATCTCCTAAATTTGCACTATAGACTTTATTTCCAACCACAATTGCAGTCAGAGCACAACTTCCTACTCTTGCAACTGATGGAAATCCCATATTGTAAGCTTGTAATGCAACTTTATAAAATTCTTCTTCCACATCAGAATATGCTTATGATATACTTTATTATATTAGATCATCTTAATTCTATATTTTATCTTGATTTTTAAGCACATAATGATCAATTTTCTCATGTAAGATATTCATTGCTAATTCTGCTAATTACCAACCTCCATGTCCATCAAAAACACTTACTGCATAGCCATTAATATTCTTTAGCTAATTTACTTTGTATCTATCTTCAATAGGATTGTTTGCTGCATATTAAAGTAATACAACTCTTTAATCTAATTGATTTTTTTTTAAAGATGAGGATCCAAAAAAGCATTTAGTTTCGTCATTCATATATAGATGGCATCCATATATCATTATCAATGGTAAAACTATATTCTTATAATTATTTTGCTATCTTTCATTATTCTCACCTGAATATGATTTGGATAGATCACAATATTTAGTATTAGTTTCATATACAATAAATTAAGCATTAAACCCATATTTAGCATCAAGAAATTATTAGTCAGGTTTTGTATACCTAAATAATAATTCATCAAGAGCAGAAAGACCTGATTACTTCTTGCTTTTCCTTTTAGTTTTTTAGTCTAATTGAAATAATATTCCTATAACATACCCGGAAGCACCAATGATTTTATTGTTCTATTAAAAAGAAATGACAGTGGTTTCTGGATCAAGGATGTTAAATTCTTATACATTTTTATGGTTAGTTAATATATTTAATAAATTAATTTGGACATTCACATAAATAAATTTAAATGTATATAATCAAATATTTTTAATAAAGGATTATTATTAATAAAATATATTTTGTTCTAAGGTTGTTAATTTAGTTATCTTAACTTATAAAATATAATTGCTATCTAAATTTTGTTTAGATACTTTCTCATAAATAATATTGAATTCAGAAAAGAATTACTAATGAAAATTTTTAATATTAAATTCAAATATGTATCGTATTGGTGATCAGATGAGTAAAACAAGTTAAAGTAGAGAGAATAGTAATTCAAATTTAGAAGAGTGTATGCATAACATATAAAGCAATCTAAAAATGATGTATGGAAAGGATGAGGAAGAAGTTCATCTTGGATCTTATAATGTTAATGCAGTTTCTGGATTTCATAGTTAATTCCTTAGTAATAAGGATGATTAATATGATTCTTAAAGAATGCATTATACTTCTTCATAATCTAACGATTTTATGCTAGAGGACAAAAATAAATAAATTCGTTAACTTAATAAGGAATTAGCAGATTTAAGGAAAGGATAATAGATGACTTAATTTGAACAATATGAACACTATTAAAAAATAATTGATAGTCTAAAAAAGGAAAATGTTCTTTTGTAATAAAGAGTACTTAATAATGAAGCTGTTTAATAACTTAATAGTGAAAGAGTTATTGAATAATAAGAATAAATTAAAGAATATGAATAGAAATTGGATTAATAAAATTAACAAATTTCTAGTTTAAATTTACAATTAAAGGATACTAAAGATTAATTGAAATTATATACTACAAAATCTTAAATTTCAAAACAAGAATAATAATCTCAATCAAAACATTATACTTAATTATAATAAGAAAATGATGAACTCTAAAGAAGATATATTAAATAATAATTAGAAAATGAAAATATGAAAGTATTAATTGAATAATTATAAAATGATATTGATAAAAGATTAGAAACTTAGAATGATTCATAAGTAGTTGAAATTATTGAATAAGTTCTATAGACAATATCTTAATTTGTAAGAGAATATGATTATGAATTACAGAAATCAGAATATTAATACAAGTTTTCTAATGAATTAAAAGAAATCATCAAAGGATTTATTACTTAAAGAGAGTATTAATTTATTATAAATTTAGTTTATCAATTTGGTAAAATATTGATAGATTAAGTAGTTTAATAATATCATTATTTGAATAACTTACATTTGATGTAAAATAGATTCATTCAGATAATATAAAAATAAAAAATATGACATTATAAATAGAATCATTAGAATAGATGACTGTATAATTAGAATAGACTATTAGTTAATATGAAATTATAAGTAGCTAACAATAAAACTATTTAAGATTGTAATTATTATTTATTAAATTTAATTTTAGTAATGATGATCAAAATAAATAAGAAAAAGAAGAATTAGTTAATGTACTTATTAATAGAACATTAAATGATTAATAAATAAATTGTTATGATAAAATGATAAAGAATTTAGAAGAAGTTAATTAGGCATAACAAAATGAGATTAAGGAATTAAAAGACAAATTATCTATTTAAATTGAATAAAATTACTAATATTAAAAATAATATTAGGAAGAACAACATTAATAAAAAATATATGAAAGCAAATTTAAAAAATAACATTATGATAGTTTATTTTTGAAAGAAATCATGAATAAGTATAATCATAAAATAAAATTTTTAGATTAGTTATTTTAATAGGTAATGAAATGACTACAAAAACTATTGAACAAATTTAAGAACTATAATAAAAAACAAATGATTAATATTGTGATGAAATAGATATCAAAAGTAAATTAGAAATGAAAGAATAAGATATTAAATTATAAATCAATGAAAATAAATTAAATATGAATGATATGATAGAAAAAAGAAGAGAAATTGAAGTCTTAAGAAATACTTTAAGAAATTGTCAAAAACAAATAGAAATTAATAAAGAAAAAATTGATATCTTAGTTAGAGATTTAGATCATAATGTAATGCAAGAAAAAAGCTAATAGTTTGCTATATCTTATTTGCCTAAGACTTTCAAAAAAGAAAATGAAAATTTGGCATAGAAATTATAAAAAACTATGAGAATGTGATGATCTTATCATTTACTTACAATTATATTATTTATTTGATATTTTATTCAATTCACTTATGAGATTTGATTAAAATACTATATAGCCTAATTATAGAGATTTGTATATTTAAGTAGTTCCTCATGTGTACGTTCTGGAGCATGTATAATACTTTTTATACATTCAGAAGCATTAATAAGATTTCCTATTTTAGTTTAATCAAAGGCTATCTTTAATTTTTATATTATTTCCTATACTTTATATATATAACTCACATCTTATGGAAATATTTGTTGCATCTCAATCAAAATGTGCTAAAACACTATTTACATTGGATCTTCTGGTTTAGTTTAAGGAAGTGGCGAAGAGATCACTTACATTTATTATTAATTGATTGTATTTTGTTATTAAACAGAATCAGGATCTCATATAAATTAAGTTTAATACCATGCATATATTAACAATTAGATCCATTTTTACAATAATTTTATGCATGATATTTGCAAGGAACTGAATTTAAATTCTTCAATTTATACTTTAAAATACAGATGTTTGAGGTTTATTGACTGGTTATTCTATTCCACTAGCCATAGCTGATAAAGCAGAAGCAGGTAAAGGATCTGATATTAATGATTAAAATCCATACCATTCATTTATCTTTGTTCTTATGTACCATGAGCAAATTAGCATTTAGCTCCAATAGCACATTATTTTGTAGCTTTTCTTAGACATTTATATACCTAAATAATGTCGACATAACATTGTTTTATATTTTGCATTTGGTACGCTCTAAGTTTAAAGTTGGCTTCCTCCAAATTAATAAGACATATAATTTAATATAATTGTATTTATTAATCTTAATAAATTTTGTTATTGACTTTATTTTATGAAATTAAAAACTAAATATTCGATCTCTGAAAATCTTGCCACTTCTTGAATTTAAAAAAACTAATCATATTATATCTTATCTTATTTAGTAAAAGTATTCTTGATAAAATTTGTTATACCGATTCAAACCAATATCTTTGTATTTTAAGTATTGTAAATAATTATTATTTAGTCTTCTCAAAAGTAAAATCTTTAATTTCAAAAGAATTTTTGAATTACACAATCTAATCCTTCATTAAATTAATATCATTTTGTTAAATAAATATTCACATTATCAATAAATAATTAAAGGATTATTTAAGTATAGGATTAGAATATGCTATTCGTTCAACTATTTTAGTTCAAGAAAATAAATAAAATTTTTAGGCTATTTATAAAAGTTCTAAAATATCCTAAGATACATGTTTATATCATTAATACTATTATTAACGTATATTTAATTCTAGTTTAAACTGTTCATAAATTTAAAACATAAATCTATTATCTAAAGATGTAAATTTTAATAAAAAAGAAAAATGCTTTAGAAAAATATTATTATAAGATTATTAATTCATTTATTTATCTTTCAAAAAAGTAAAATATCATAAATATATGAATTAGTTTTATTTCTTCATTTACAATGCAATATCAACGCTTAATAATTAAGAATTAAAATTTAAAAATCTTCTAATTCTATTAACATATATGGATAGAAAATTAATTTATGATTAATTTAAGATTTAGTTTATAGATTTTATTTATAAATAATGTATTCACAAAATGGAAGCATATAAATAACATTATTGTACTCAATAGTCACTGATTATGCATAGGAATTTTAACTAGATAAAATAAATTTCCATTATAAAAATATTCAATAGTTTTCAAATGATCTAAATGATTCTTAAATAGTTAAAATTAAAGGATTATTTGGATGCTAGAAAAATATTGAAAGAGAAATTTATAATGAATTTAAGAAAGAAGTTGATCTAACAGAATTTTAAAAATAATCAGAAAAAGGAAATCTGATTATAGTATAGTTCTAAAACACAATGTTATTTTGTTTGATTCTACCTATTAAATTCTTCACTAAAAGACCTATATTGGAAAAATCAATAGAAATTGTTCTATTAAGAATCCTGCATGATTTTGCTGATAATATATAATTATGTTTAGATGAAACAGTGTTTGCAGATTGGTATTCTGGAGATATTGTACCTTTTAGTGCTTAATTATTAGAGCGATATGATTATGATTTTGCTGAAGTAAGTAATCAAGAGATATAGATGTATAAATGCTAGAATTTTCAGCTTGATTATGATATTTCAAAATGTTAAATTATTAAATCTCAATCTTTATTACCTTAAGTTTATATCATAGAAAGCTTAGAAATGAATAAAATAGAATAGTTATTAAGCACTTATCATTAGTTCACTGAAGCTTTGATGATCTAAATTATCACGACACAAAATTATAGCATAATTCCTTTAATTAATTCTTTTAAAAAGGAGCATTAAAATGATAAAATAAAAGGGTTACTAAATGACTTTTCAAAGAAATTATATAATGAAATAATGTAATAAAGGTAAATATTAACTTAAAATATCTTTAAAGACCTTTAACCTTGGCATAAAAAATTGTTTTCTTTAGACTTAGAAGAAATTAAGCATTAAGCAGAATAAATTGTATTCTAAACTTTATAAACTGTTAAATTGAATTAATAGAAACTTCCACTTTTTTAATTTGTTTTTACTTTAGATCACCAAAAATATTATTAGATTATTCAATCTCATTTAGATATTATTTATAAAAAATCTAAGGAAATATAGTCATAGTTTTAAAATTAAATCAAATAATTATTTTCAGAATTATGCTTGTAAACAAAATATTCAGTGAAGAATATAAATTTAAAAATCTATAGAAAGAATGAAAATATAACTGAGAGAATATTAAATATTTGGCCTTATTTCGATGAAGATTAAAATTTTTGCTTAGATGGCAGTTTTTTAAAAAATCGATCATAAAACTTTGAAATTAAAGAGATCTTTTCAACAAAAAAAAAGGCTACTATTTTTATAGTTTACACATAAACTACAGCTTATATTTTATTTTTGTAGTTTTAAGCATCTTAAGTAAAAGTGATAAGATAATAAGAACTTAATGAAATAAAACAATCAGTTTATTATTATGATTATAATCTAGGATAATTATATGTTTTTAATCATAGAGATAAATATGTATAATCAATTATGATTTCTCCATTAGGAATTATTTAAAATGATCAATTTTTTTGTTATTAATAGGATAATTAGAGTAATTAATTCTTAGTAGATGAAGTAGCATACATTAATGTTTGTAAAAAGTTTATAGTATTGTCCAAAAACAATACAATTTATACATAATCTGAAAAAGAGTAATAATTTCGAATACTTAAATGTTTATAAGAAACTGAAAAAGGAATAAAAGAAACAGAATTTACTCCAAGTGTTAATGCAAATGAAAATTACAAATAATTATTAACTTGCCCAAGTGGAAAATACTTTTATCTTGCTAATTATTATTGTTGTGACAGATATGATTATACAGGCAAAAGATTGTAAACAATTCCTATTAGTGGTCAAATAAAAATATTCTCCGATTCTTCTGATGCGATCATTTTTGATTAATTTAATGAATCATAATTTTAGAAATAGAAAAAGATTCATGTCATAAGTAATTTAATTTAATAAAAAATATTTCATAAATAATAAAGTGATAAAAAATAGCTTATAGGTAATCCTGCATTAGATATTGTAAAAGGTTCATTCATTAAATTTGGACCAAATGCTTAGTTTTTATATAAACAAAAATAAAGAAATATTCATTTATATATTGAAACTAATGGATATAATCAAATAGAATAATACTTCAATAATTTGAATTTGAATATGGTTAATTTGAATAACCAATAGATTAAATTCTCTGAATGTGATAGCAATTAAATAATTAATATAATTTTTTCAAGAGTTCCTTTGTAATTGTGCACTATTGAAAATGGAATTTTGATACCTTTAAATAATGGTTTTAGATAACTATCATTAGTCTAAAGAAATATAACAATAGATTCAAAAGTAAAATAGTTACATCTAGGATTTTTAGAAGACTATCTGTAAGCGGAAGAAAAGAATATTTTTGTTGTAGGTATTATTGGAAAGCAATCATCAGGCAAAAGTTACCTATTAAATAGAGTATTCGGAACAAGATTTTCTGTTTCATCAGCTAGATGTACTGATGGGGTGTGGGGAAGTATAGCCTATGTGGATAATTAGAAGTTTTTAATACTTGATTGTGAGGGATTATTTAATGGAGCTAGGACTGAAAAAGATGAGATTAAAATGCTTGCATTTGTTACTGCAATAAGTGATATAACTATTTTAAATTCTGACTCAACTTTTAGTCGTTATTAGAATGAACTCTTTAATAATCTAGTTGAAGCATCTAAGTAATTAAATGATGAAAAGTTGTTTATGGGTATTTTATACATTATCATAAGAGATGTTAGTATTACTGATAATAAAGGAGTAGATTAAGAATTATTAAAAAATTTGGACAGATTAAAATCAGCTGACTCTTAGGATATTATTTTTTTGGATAAATTATTTAATAACAAACTCTCGGTTGAAAAATTAGTAAATAATGAAAACTCTTTTTTTGATGAACAATTAAAAAAGGTTAGAAGCTATTTCTTAAATAATTCCATGAAAACTATTCGTTGGAAAAATGGTAAAGAATTAATATAAATGGTAAAAATTGTTCTTTGTCAGCTAGAATTATCTGATACTACAAATGCAAGCCTAATAGATTTTCAAATTAGATTAGAATAAATTTATTTTGAAAGCAAAGCTCAGTGGTATAAATTTTCTTTAAATTAACCACATTGCGAAGATATAAAGCTAATTTAAAGAAATTATTAATTTGAAATCAACGATGATGACTACATTATGGAGAACAAAGTAATTTTGAAATAATTATATGATGATCTTAAGCTAAATGATACTATTAATAGTCATAAATCAAATTTATAGGAAGCTAATAATTAACTTAATAAATTGATGGAATAAAGGAAGGAACTAATTATTTAAAAGACTTAATCTGAAATATCCGATATTAATGGTTTAGAAGTTTAAACTTAAATACAAAAAGAAAATTCTAAACTTTTAGATTTTTTCTAAATTTAAATTAATAGATATTAATTTTGTTAAAGTAAATGCAATGAGTGTTATTTGACATGCAAATAATTCAAGAATCATATTGATTATTCTAGCAAATTGAAAGGAAAACTTGAAAATGAAATCTCTATTTTAGAAGAGTTAAGAAAGATTTCATCAATAAAGGATAATAAAGAAGAAATAGTGGTTAGAAATAGTCTAATTTCTATTGCACAAAATATTGAAGAGATAGATAATACCTTAAAAGAATTAACAAATTTAATTAAGTGGTTACATATTTAAGATTAGTAATAATAATTAATGAATGAAGTTAGAAAATCTCATTTTTTTAATGTTGAAAATGTTTAAAATTCTGAAATAAACTAAGAATTGGAAAAGTAAAATATACAAATTACATTCGATATAAATTATATCAATTATTTACAAGAAGATATTAATAAAAAGTAGCAAAACTTTGTTGAAAAATAGAATAATAATACTAATGAAATTAAGAAAATTTAAGAAGAATATATAAGACTTTAGAAATCATGTCAAGAGATTGAGAAGAAAATAAAGGAATATAAAATAATAAATAGAGAAAAAAAAAAGGAAATAGAAAAGCTAAATTTTGAAAATTAAAAAATAATGGGTGATAAAGAAAAAATTGAAACTTAGATTCATGACCTGAAAGTCAATTATGATGAAAAGGTAAGAAATGAACATCAATCTAAAATAAAAGCATTGAAGCAAAAAAATACTGAATTTAAAGAGGAAA